GTGGCCTACTGACGGCAAAATAAACGTTTGTTTACATGTCAAAATTGAATAAAATTTATTTATTTTACTTTATACTATGTCAAGTTTGACGTTTTACTGGATCGAACGATTCCGGTAAAATCAAAAAAACGGACAAGTCCGATAAAATTGAGCCAAAAAGGACAAGTGTTCCATTTCCGGAAGCGGCCACTGACCCTTTTGGGTCTCTTTTGCTTTACCTGTTATTGTAAATACAAATGTAAATTTAGTATTTCTGTAACCGTCCTGTATTAAACATCGAAACCGAACGCTGTCTATTATCTCGCACGCAAGAAAACAAAGGTCCTTGGAGCAATATCAAAGTACAATTCGGTATCACATTGTCGTATCAACCAGATTACAAAAAATACTGGTAGGACGAGCCGAGTTGCACAAACATTGGTCCTTCGAGACGGATTGCACAAAACATTCGTCCATCGAGTCGGATTATACAAAACAATAAGTCCTGTAAAGTGTTATAAGTACTATGTGTTTAAACATATGATGCTGATTTGCACGAATAAACAAATTAAAACATTTACCAAAGAGCGGTTGCTAACGATGTCAGAAAAAGTGACTCGATTTGGATTTTTTCTCAAAATAATAATAATATTATCGAATAAAAAAGTATGTTGACAGTATGAAATAAAATACATAACAACATACGTCCGGTAACTCTTTTCGCAGTACTCGTTTCGAAATTAAAGACTCGGCTACCTACTCGTCCTGAAACATATCACTCGTACTGTAAAATTTGAGCTACCGGACCGGACCGTATTTAGAATAACTTTAATTACCATTTATGTTTTCATCAACACTAACAAGTATTTAAAATAACAAGTAATAATTTGTTTGTATTGTTTATTCATTATAATAATTCCATTTATTATTATAATATATTTGCTTATCCCCTCCAAAAAATTTATGACGTCAGCTCAAAAGTTTGCCATATAATCCTATTTAAAATTTACAAAATATGATGAGTCTCTTCTTGTAATTTATCATTCCATTCATATTTTTTGGATTCGGATATACAGGTTGACTCAAAAAATTTAATGAATGCGCAAATTTATTTTATTGATTTAATCAGGAACTACAAAACCGAATGCTTTGAAATCTAATGTGAAAAAAAACATAATAGGCATGCAGTCGTCACGTTTCCGATAGCGAGGGAAGTACTGTCTAAACTCTTTAGACCAATTTTTTTGATTTTCCCATTTTTCCATTTCTCAATTTTTCAATGTTTCAGTTTGGGATTTTTTCACTGTTTCGATTCTTTAATTTTTCTTCCATTTTTAGGTTTTTCAATATTTCAGCTTTGGAATTTTGCAATATTTCGTTTCTTCAATTTTTCAAAATTTTGATATTGTTTTCTCGGTTCTTAAATTGTTCGATATTTTAATTTTTCAGTTTTTAAAGTTTTAGGTTTTTAGATTTCTCACTATCTCGACTTTTCGATTTTTCAGTTCCATGATTTTTCAATTTGTCGAATTTTTAAATTTTAGATTTTTTGTTCTCGATCTTTTTGAGTTTTCAGGCTTAGATTTTTTTTGTTGTTTAATTCTTGGATTTTTAAAATTTTTGTTTTTTAAATTTTCCTATTTATCAACTTACTGGGATTTCAATGTTTTGATTTTTTGATTGTTCAATTTCTCGATTTTTTGAATTTTTAGTTTTGATACGATTTTTTTTTCAAAAGTTTTCAGTTTTTCAGTTTATTAACTTTACGATATTTCAGTTTTACGATTTTAAAATTTTTTTATTTTTCAGTTTTCAATTTTTGAGGTTTCTAAATTTTTCGATTAACTGATTTTTTGATTTTCCCATTTCTCTATTTCTTGATTTTTCAATTCTTTCTTCAATTGTGATTTTTCAGTTTTACGATTTCTGGATTTTTCAATGATTCAGTTTTGGATTTTTTCACTTTTCCGATTCTTCAATTTTCTTTCCATTTTTCAGTTTTTCAAGATTTCAGTTTTGATTTTTTCACTTTTCCGATTTTTCAATTTTCCTTCCATTTTTTAGTTTTTCAGTATTTCAGTTCTGAGATTTTGCAATGTTTCGGTTTTTCAATTTTTCCATTTTTTGATGTTTCGATTTCTCGGTTTTTCAATTTTTCGATAGGTATTTTAATTTTTCAATTTTTAAGTTCTATATTTTCCGTAAATTTTTTTGTTTTCCTTGATGTTTTGATTTCTCGATTATTCGATTTTTCAAGTCCTCGGTTTAGATTTTTTGGTTTTCCAATTCTTCGATTTTTAAATTGTTCAATTTCTCGAAAAATCTAGAAATTTAAACATTAAAATATGGAAAAGTTGAAAAATTGAGAAATTTAAATATAAGACAATCGAAAAATTGAAAAATCGAAAGTATAAAAAACGAAAAACTGAAAATCCAAAAATAAAAAATCAAAGAATCGAAGTATTGAAAAATATCAAAACTGAAAGAAATATTCAAAAATTGAGAAATCGAAAAACCAATGAAGCGAAGTCGAAAAATCGAAAAATTAAAGAACTGAAAAATCGAAACTTTGTGAAGTGGGAAATTCAAAAATAGATTAATTGAAAAATCAGAAAACTGAAAATTTAACGTAAAAATTTGAAAAATTGAAAAATTTAAAGACTGAAGAACTGAAAAGTAAAAAAATCGAGAAATCGAAAAATCTAAAATTTAAAACATTGAACAATTAAAATATCGCAAAATTGAAGAATCGAGAAATCCAATTCAATTTAAAAAATTGAAAAATTGAAAAATCGGGACATTGAAAAATTGGAAAATCCAGAAATTGAAAAGCTCAAAAGAAAAAAATCAATAAACCGAGAAATCCAAAAATCGAAACATCGAAAAATTCAAAACTGAGACATCGAAGAAACGAAATATCGGAGGATCGAGAAATTGAGGAGTCGGAGGCCGAAAAGGAAAGTTAAAAACTGAAAAATTGAGCAATCGAAGTATAAAACAGTCGCAGAATTGAAAAATTTAAAGTTTACAATAAATTGAAAATCCAAAAAGTAAAAAATCGAGAAATCAAAAAAAATCCATAAATTCAAAAATCGAAAAGTCGAAAAATTGAAATTTTGAAAATCTCATAACTGAAAGAAATATTCAAAAAATTGACAAATTAAAAAACTGGAAAATTGAGAAATCGAAAATCTAAAAAAGCAAAATCGAAAAATCGTAAGCTTAAAATATCGAAAAATTGAAGAATTGAAGATGTGAAAAATCGAAGTCCAGAAATGGAAAAATAAAAAAAAATACTTTAGAAATCGGAAAACTGAAAATTTAGAAACGTGAAATTTGAAAAATTGAAAAATCCAAAAATAAAAAAATCGAGAAATGGAAAATTTGAATAATGGAAGAATTGGAAAAGCCCAAAATTGAAAGATTGAAAAATTGAGACATTTAAAGTTGAAAAATTGAGAAATCGAAAAGCCGAAAAATCTCAATAGCGTATTTATAAATCACAAGATCAGGACTATGCTACATTTTAAAATTTAAATAACACTATTAATTGGAAAATGTTGATTTTTTTCCAAAAATCTTGACGTCTAAGGTGAAAACTCGACACGGATACATAAATCATCCCATCGGTTGAAGAACGTTGGGTAGGTGCACTGACGTCGGTGTTATATCCCGAGAGGGGCCCGGTACAAGTATACCCAATAAAATGGAACAGGTAAAATAAAGCATCAAACATGATTATTTTTATACTAAAATTCTGAAGTTTATAAATTGCACACTTTATTTATTTATTTATTTATTTTATCTTGTTTTCGAAATATAATAAATATTTCAAACAATGTCTGTAACTTATTTTAATGTAAATTATATTCATGTGGTTGACAAAATCAGATGTAATATTAGTGTGATTTTGACCTTATTCTAGATTTTATTACAGCAGAACGGCGTATCCTTTTTAAATTTTAGAAGTTACGGAAACTAGTTCAAGAAACAATTAGTTATCTCGTTTTTTTTGGAACAAAATCTACCAAAACGTCGGATAACAGTAATTGTTTTTCATAGAAACAAACAGTCTTCAAAGCAGCCTTTAACAACTCGATATTAGAGACATGCCTCTTAAGTTCTTAATGCGTTTCTTTCTGTCTTGTAATTATTTGTAATGTCAACGCCGAAAGTTTATGTCATTCTGTTATTTACTTTGAATATATATTTTCATTTTGTGTTAATATTTTTGTAACACCACGAATCTAAATTTTACTAAATCTTGTAAAACTAAACAATTATACCAGTTTAAAAACCCTTGGAAAGTTTCTGTCAGTAGTAAAATAAAAATAGGCGTCAAATTCATTTAAATACATTTCTTTCGTATCACGTTATAACGCGTTGCTTCATATTTTTTATGTCAAGTATATTTTCATATTTTGTACATATATGTTTATACACATTACTGTTTACGTAACAATGTTAATTATGGATTTATGGATAACTCCTCGTATAAAGCTGAATGAAGGGTGTTTGCCTTTGCTAATGTTTGATGGCGCCATCTGATGTACAGTAAAATAAACCTAATACGTTGGCTCACTGCAGTGAAAATGCGCGTTGACGAAAAATTTGTCCCACGCCCCCTGGATTCCTTGTCCTAAAGCTCACTATTTAGGCGAAGTAAAATTTGTATTAGGTTGTCCAACTATAATATACTTAAACAATGGCTGCATTTATTCTCATTGATTAGGTGCATTCGGCGAAATCCAATCCAATTCCTTCAATTTTTCGAATTTTCAAGACAATCGGTTGAGTAGTTTCTGAGATTATTTGTTAAATAAATAATCCAGGGTCATGAAACGTCGAGAAAACATAAAAGTTCCAGTCATCCAATGAATTCGTTCTTTCTCTCCACTAGAAACCCTAAAACCCGCAGCCCCACCGCCAATGTAAACAAACTCCCCCACACCCCTCCCCCAGCCCTCTTATTACTTGTTATGGCAATCCCAAAGTTTGGTCAATACCCGTTTTCCGATCTCTCCGTTCCGCCACCATGTTCTTCAACAAGTATTTCCACAATGCCGCCGACTCCAGAGGTAAGCCGCCATCCTAGCAACCTCCCATCACTCCCTCCCGTCAATCAAGTGAGTGATTTCGGCTCCAAAATTTGACGCACCATTAACTCTTTTGACAGTGGGAAAAATGTTCCCGTACGTTCTGCAAGACAAAGAGACGGCCATCCGGCGCTCCCTCGAGGACACCCACTCCCCCACCCCTCGCTTGAGAAGAACCATCACCACCCCCCAACGTGAGTACCCCCACGAATAGTCCCATTGCCTCAGCGACGCGTTTCAGAGTCGCCGTCGCCGCCGGACACGCCCCCGAGGTCCCCCAAGCCCAAGAAGGAGTCCATCTTCGACTTCAAGTCAGAAGCGGCGAAGAAGGTGGAACTCATCGCGAAGAGCCGCGACGAGCGGCGCCAGAAGCTGGCCGACGAGAAGGCCATAAGAGACCAGATCGGGGTGCACGAGCACACCAACCCCTACTACGAGTTCGCGCGGATGATCCAGGAGTTTAAGAGCACGCTGGAGTTTCACCCTCTGAAGGAGACAGACGGCGTGGTGGAGAACCAGATCACGGTGTGTGTGCGGAAGAGGCCGCTGAACGCGCGCGAGAAGAACCGGAACGAGGTGGACGTGGTCACCGTGCCCACGAAGAACCAGATGGTGGTCCACGAACCCAAACACAAAGTCGATTTAACCAAGTATTTAGACAACCAGCACTTTCGGTTTGACTACGTCTTCGACGAGAGCTGCAGCAACGAAACCGTGTATAGATTCACGGCGCAGCCTTTGGTGAAGACCATCTTCGAGGGGGGAATGGCCACGTGTTTCGCGTATGGTCAAACGGGGGCTGGAAAGACGCATACCATGGGGGGCGAGTTCAAAGGCAAGCAGCAGAACTTCAAAAACGGCATCTACGCTTTAGTCGCCGCTGACGTCTTCAAATTCCTCTGCCAACCTCCTCACTGTGATAAGAACCTGGTGGTGTCGGCAAGCTTCTTCGAGATCTACGGCAAAATCGCTTATGACCTCCTTGCCAAGAAGCAACGACTGAGGGTGTTAGAGGATGGTAAACAAGTGGTGCAGGTGGTGGGTCTCACCGAACGCACCGTCAACAAAGTCGACGATATTATGGACTTTATTAAGAAAGGTAGTCTGGAGAGGACGTGGGGACAAACGTCCGCTAACGCCAACTCGTCGAGGTCCCACGCCGTCTTCCAGATAATCCTTCGTCGGGCTAACACCAGACAACTAGAAGGCAAATTTTCTTTGATTGACTTGGCCGGGAACGAACGTGGTGCTGACAACTCCAAGTCTAACAAGCAGACGAGGATCGAAGGCGCCGATATTAACAAGAGTTTGTTGGCGCTGAAGGAGTGCATCCGAGCCCTCGGGAAAAAAGGGAAACATTGTCCGTTCCGCGAGAGCATTTTGACGAAGATCCTGCGGGACTCGTTCATCGGGGAGAAGTCCAGGACGTGCATGATCGCGCTGATTTCGCCATCAGTGGGGTCCGTAGACCACACGCTCAACACTCTGAGGTACGCAGACAGAGTCAAGGAATTAGTAGCCAACGATTTCTGCTCCGGGGAGTCAGAGGAAAGTCAAAACGATATGGACCTCCTCTCCATGGAGGACGAGCTTTTGGAAAACAGCAGAAACGTCATCGACAGTTGTGTCTACTTCCACAAGATGGCTTGCCAGTTGTACGACAGCAGCAAGCAGGCGGGGTACAGTAAGTATGAGTTTGCCAAGAACTGGAAGAATTTGCTGAGGGAGATGATTGATGTGCAGAAGATTGCCTACGTTAAGGCGGCGGAGTTTTGCGAGATGTTGGAAGATGAAGCTTGATTGTGACATGGCAATAAATTTTAATAAATTATTTATTAAAGGTTGTTTATGTTTAAAGATCCACCAACTCTGCACTTTGTGCTAAAAACGCAATATTTTTATATTAATAGGCAACACAAAATACACAAAAATGTTCGTTAATATTTCTTATAGTTATAAATTAATCCCCAAAATTCTTTCAATTATTTCATTTTAATTAAGGAAACAGGGACTTCTGAGATTATTTCAAACTATTTAAAGAATGGTACATTACGGGTTTCCAAAATTCATTTAAATTCCTTTCAAAATAAAAAGCCTGAAGTCCTAGAAATTTTTTCCAAATTATTTCAAAAACAAAACACCAAAGATCGTCGCAATTCTATCTAATTCTTTTAAAAATATGACTAGAGGACTCTGAGATTCTTTCAAATTCTTTTAACATTGAGACACCATGGACCCTCAATTTTTTTTTAAATCATTTCAAAAACAAACACCAAAAGTCCTCGAGATTTTTTCAGATTCTTTAAAAATAAGACGCTAGGAGACGCCGAAATTTTTTCAATTTTTTTTAATGAGAAACCAGAGTCCCCCGAATTTTTTCGAAAATATCTCAAAAACATGACACTAGGAGTCCCCAACATTCTTTCAAATTCTTATCAATGTAGATAAATCACAAGAGGTCTCCGAGATTCTTTCAAATTCTTTTAACTTTGAGACACCATGGACCCTCAATTTTTTTTTAATCATTTCAAAAACAAACACCAAAAGTCCTCGAGATTCTTTCAGATTCTTTAAAAAAAAGACGCTAGGAGACGCCGAAATTTTTTCAATTTTTTTTTTTATGAGAAACCAGAGTCCCCCGAATTTTTTCGAAAATATCTCAAAAACAAGACACTAGGAGTCCCCAACATTCTTTCAAATTCTTATCAATGTAGATAAAACACAAGAGGTCTCCGAGATTCTTTCAAATTCTTTTAACATTGAGACACCATGGACCCCCAATTTTTTTTAAATCATCTCAAAAACAAACACCAAAAGTCCTCGAGATTCTTTCAGATTCTTTAAAAATAAGACGCTAGGAGACGCCGAAATTTTTAAAATTTTTTTTATAATGAGAAACCAGAGTCCCCCGAATTTTTTCGAAAATATCTCAAAAACAAGACACTAGGAGTCCCCGACATTCTTTCAAATTCTTATCAATGTAGATAAAACACAAGAGGTCTCCGAGATTCTTTAAAATTCTTTTAACATTGAGACACCATGGACCCTCAATTTTTTTTTAAATCATTTCAAAAACAAGCACCAAAAGTCCTCGAGATTCTTTCAGATTCTTTAAAAATAAGACGCTAGGAGACGCCGAAATTTTTTCAATTTTTTTTTTTTTAATGAGAAACCAGAGTCCCCCGAATTTTTTCGAAAATATCTCAAAAAAAAGAGACTAGGAGTCCCCAACATTCTTTCAAATTCTTATCAATGTAGATAAAACACAAGAGGTCTCCGAGATTCTTTCAAATTCTTTTAACATTGAGACACCATGGACCCTCAATTTTTTTTTAAATCATTTCTAAAACAAACACCAAAAGTCCTCGAGATTCTTTCAGATTCTTTAAAAATAAGACGCTAGGAGACGCCGAAATTTTTTCAATTTTTTTTTTTAATGAGAAACCAGAGTCCCCCGAATTTTTTCTAAAATACCTCAAAAACAAGACACTAGGAGTCCCCGACATTCTTTCAAATTCTTATCAATGTAGATAAAACACAAGAGGTCTCCGAGATTCTTTCAAATTCTTTTAACATTGAGACACCATGGACCCCCAATTTTTTTTAAATCATCTCAAAAACAAACACCAAAAGTCCTCGAGATTCTTTCAGATTCTTTAAAAATAAGACGCTGGGAGACGCCGAAATTTTTAAAATTTTTTTTATAATGAGAAACCAGAGTCCCCCGAATTTTTTCGAAAATATCTCAAAAACAAGACACTAGGAGTCCCCGACATTCTTTCAAATTCTTATCAATATAGATAAAACACAAGAGGTCTCCGAGATTCTTTAAAATTCTTTTAACATTGAGACACCATGGACCCTCAATTTTTTTTTAAATCATTTCAAAAACAAACACCAAAAGTCCTCGAGATTCTTTCAGATTCTTTAAAAATAGGACGCTAGGAGACGCCGAAATTTTTTCAATTTTTTTTTTAATGAGAAACCAGAGTCCCCCGAATTTTTTCGAAAATATCTCAAAAACAAGACACTAGGAGTCCCCGACATTCTTTCAAATTCTTATCAATGTAGATAAAACACAAGAGGTCTCCGAGATTCTTTCAAATTCTTTTAACATTGAGACACCATGGACCCTCAATTTTTTTTAAATCATTTCAAAAACAAACACCAAAAATCCTCGAGATTCTTTCAGATTCTTTAAAAAAAGACGCTAGGAGACGCCGAAATTTTTTCAATTTTTTTTTAATGAGAAACCAGAGTCCCCCAAATTTTTTCGAAAATATCTCAAAAACAAGACACTAGGAGTCCCCAACATTCTTTCAAATTCTTATCAATGTAGATAAAACACAAGAGGTCTCCGAGATTCTTTCAAATTCTTTTAACATTGAGACACCATGGTCCCTCAATTTTTTTTTAAATCATTTCAAAAACAAACACCAAAAGTCCTCGAGATTCTTTCAGATTCTTTAAAAATAAGACGCTAGGAGACGCCGAAATTTTTTCAATTTTTTTTTTTAATGAGAAACCAGAGTCCCCCGATCTTTTTCGAAAATATCTCAAAAACAAGACACTAGGAGTCCCCGACATTCTTTCAAATTCTTATCAATGTAGATAAAACACAAGAGGTCTCCGAGATTCTTTCAAATTCTTTTAACATTGAGACACCATGGACCCTCAATTTTTTTTAAATCATCTCAAAAACAAACACCAAAAGCCCTTGTGATTCTTTCAGATTCTTTAAAAACAAGACGCTAGGAGACGCCGAAATTTTTTCAATTTTTTTTTTAATGAGAAACCAGAGTCCCCCGAATTTTTTCGAAAATATCTCAAAAACAAGACACTAGGAGTTCCCGACATTCTTTCAAATTCTTATCAATGTAGATAAAACACAAGAGGTCTCCGATATTCTTTCAAATTCTTTTAACATTGAGACACCATGGACCCTCAATTTTTTTTTAAATCATTTCAAAAACAAACACCAAAAGTCCTCGAGATTCTTTCAGATTCTTTAAAAATAAGACGCTAGAAGACGCCGAAATTTTTTCAATTTTTTTTTTAATGAGAATCCAGAGTCCCCCGAATTTTTTCGAAAATATCTCAAAAACAAGACACTAGGAGTCCCCAACATTCTTTCAAATTCTTATCAATGTAGATAAAACACAAGAGGTCTTCGAGATTCTTTCAAATTCTTTTAACATTGAGACACCATGGACGCCCAATTTTTTTTTAAATCATTTCAAAACAAACACCAAAAGTCCTCGAGATTCTTTCAGATTCTTTAAAAATAAGACGCTAGGAGACGCCGAAATTTTTTCAATTTTTTTTTTTTAATGAGAAACCAGAGTCCCCCGAATTTTTTCGAAAATATCTCAAAAACAAGACACTGGGAGTCCCCAACATTCTTTCAAATTCTTATCAATGTAGATAAAACACAAGAGGTCTCCGAGATTCTTTCAAATTCTTTTAACATTGAGACACCATGGACCCTCAATTTTTTTTTAAATCATTTCAAAAACAAACACCAAAAGTCCTCGAGATTCTTTCAGATTCTTTAAAAATAAGACGCTAGGAGACGCCGAAATTTTTTCAATTTTTTTTTTTAATGAGAAACCAGAGTCCCCCGAATTTTTTCTAAAATACCTCAAAAACAAGACACTGGGAGTTCCCGACATTCTTTCAAATTCTTATCAATGTAGATAAAACACAAGAGGTCTCCGATATTCTTTCAAATTCTTTTAACATTGAGACACCATGGACCCTCAATTTTTTTTTAAATCATTTCAAAAACAAACACCAAAAGTCCTCGAGATTCTTTCAGATTCTTTAAAAATAAGACGCTAGAAGACGCCGAAATTTTTTCAATTTTTTTTTTTAATGAGAAACCAGAGTCCCCCGAATTTTTTCGAAAATATCTCAAAAACAAGACACTAGGATTCCTTAACATTCTTTCAAATTCTTATCAATGTAGATAAAACACAAGAGGTCTCCGAGATTCTTTCAAATTTTTGTAACATTGAGACACCATGGACCCTCAATTTTTTTTTTAAATCATTTCAAAACAAACACCAAAAGTCCTCGAGATTCTTTCAGATTCTTTAAAAATAAGACGCTAGAAGACGCCGAAATTTTTTCAATTTTTTTTTTTAATGAGAAACCAGAGTCCCCCGAATTTTTTCGAAAATATCTCAAAAACAAGACACTAGAAGTCCCCAACATTCTTTCAATTTCTTATCAATGTAGATAAAACACAAGAGGTCTCCGAGATTCTTTCAAATTCTTTTAACATTGAGACACCATGGACCCTCAATTTTTTTTTTAAATCATTTCAAAACAAACACCAAAAGTCCTCGAGATTCTTTCAGATTCTTTAAAAATAAGACGCTAGGAGACGCCGAAATTTTTTCAATTTTTTTTTTAATGAGAAACCAGAGTCCCCCGAATTTTTTCGAAAATATCTCAAAAACAAGATACTAGGAGTCCCCAACATTCTTTCAAATTCTTATCAATGTAGATAAAACACAAGAGGTCTCCGAGATTCTTTCAAATTCTTTTAACATTGAGACACCATGGACCCTCAATTTTTTTTTAAATCATTTCAAAAACAAACACCAAAAGTCCTCGAGATTCTTTCAGATTCTTTAAAAATAAGACGCTAGGAGACGCCGAAATTTTTTTGAATTTTTTTTTTTAATGAGAAACCAGAGTCCCCCGAATTTTTTCGAAAATATCTCAAAAACAAGACACTAGGAGTCCCCGACATTCTTTCAAATTCTTAGTAATGTAGATAAAACACAAAGGGTATCCGAGATTCTTTCAAATTCTTTTAACATTGAGACACCATGGACCCTCAATTTTTTTTAAATCATCTCAAAAACAAACACCAAAAGCCGTTGAGATACTTTCAGATTCTTTAAAAACAACACGCTAGGAGACGCCGAAATGTTTTCAATTTTTTTTTTATGAGAAACCAGAGTCCCCCGAATTTTTTCGAAAATATCTCAAAAACAAGACACTAGGAGTCCCCAACATTCTTTCAAATTCTTATCAATGTAGATAAAACACAAAGGGTATCCGAGATTCTTTCAAATTCTTTTAACATTGAGACACCATGGACCCTCAATTTTTTTTAAATCATCTCAAAAACAAACACCAAAAGCCGTTGAGATACTTTCAGATTCTTTAAAAACAACACGCTAGGAGACGCCGAAATGTTTTCAATTTTTTTTTTATGAGAAACCAGAGTCCCCCGAATTTTTTCGAAAATATCTCAAAAACAAGACACTAGGAGTCCCCGACATTCTTTCAAATTCTTAGTAATGTAGATAAAACACAAAGGGTATCCGAGATTCTTTCAAATTCTTTTAACATTGAGACACCATGGACCCTCAATTTTTTTTAAATCATCTCAAAAACAAACACCAAAAGCCGTTGAGATACTTTCAGATTCTTTAAAAACAACACGCTAGGAGACGCCGAAATGTTTTCAATTTTTTTTTTATGAGAAACCAGAGTCCCCCGAATTTTTTCGAAAATATCTCAAAAACAAGACACTAGGAGTCCCCAACATTCTTTCAAATTCTTATCAATGTAGATAAAACACAAGAGGTCTCCGAGATTCTTTCAAATTCTTTTAACATTGAGACACCATGGACCCTCAATTTTTTTTTAAATCATTTCAAAACAAACACCAAAAGTCCCCGAGATTCTTTCAGATTCTTTAAAAATAAGACGCTAGGAGACGCCGAAATTTTTTCAATTTTTTTTTGTAATGAGAAACCAGAGTCCCCCGAATTTTTTCGAAAATATCTCAAAAGCAAGACACTAGGAGTCCCCAACATTCTTTCAAATTCTTATCAATGGAGATAAAACACAAGAGGTCTCCGAGATTCTTTCAAATTCTTTTAACATTGAGACACCATGGACCCTCAATTTTTTTTTAATCATTTCAAAAACAAACACCAAAAGTCCTCGAGATTCTTTCAGATTCTTTAAAAATAAGACGCTAGGAGACGCCGAAATTTTTTCAATTTTTTTTTAATGAGAAACCAGAGTCCCCCGAATTTTTTCGAAAATATCTCAAAAACAAGACACTAGGAGTCCCCAACATTCTTTCAAATTCTTATCAATGTAGATAAAACACAAGAGGTCTCCGAGATTCTTTCAAATTCTTTTAACATTGAGACACCATGGACCCTCAATTTTTTTTTAAATCATTTCAAAAACAAACACCAAAAGTCCTCGAGATTCTTTCAGATTCTTTAAAAATAAGACGCTAGGAGACGCCGAAATTTTTTCAATTTTTTTTTAATGAGAAACCAGAGTCCCCCGAATTTTTTCAGAAATATCTCAAAAACAAGACACTAGGAGTCCCCAACATTCTTTCAAATTCTTATCAATGTAGATAAAACACAAGGTCTCCGAGATTCTTTCAATTTTTTTTAACATTGAGACACCATGGACCCTCAATTTTTTTTTAAATCATTTCAAAAACAAACACCAAAAGTCCTCGAGATTCTTTCAGATTCTTTAAAAATAAGACGCTAGGAGATGCCGAAATTTTTTCATTTTTTTTTTTTAATGAGAAACCAGAGTCCCCCGAATTTTTTCGGAAATATCTCAAAAACAAGGCACTGGGAGTCCCCAACATTCTTTCAAATTCTTATCAATGTAGATAAAACACAAGAAGTCTCCGAGATTCTTTCAAATTCTTTTAACATTGAGACACCATGGACCCCCAATTTTTTTTTAAATCATTTCAAAACAAACACCAAAAGTCCTCGAGATTCTTTCAGATTCTTTAAAAATAAGACGCTAGGAGACGCCGAAATTTTTTTCAATTTTTTTTTAATGAGAAACCAGAGTCCCCCGAATTTTTTCGAAAATATCTCAAAAACAAGACACTAGGAGTCCCCAACATTCTTTCAAATTCTTATCAATGTAGATAAAACACAAGAGGTCTCCGAGATTCTGTCAAATTCTTTTAACATTGAGACACCATGGACCCTCAATTTTTTTTTAAATCATTTCAAAAACAAACACCAAAAGTCCTCGAGATTCTTTCAGATTCTTTAAAAATAAGACGCTAGGAGACGCCGAAATTTTTTCATTTTTTTTTTTAATGAGAAACCAGAGTCCAGCGAATTTTTTCGAAAATATCTCAAAAACAAGACACTAAGAGTCCCCAACATTCTTTCAAATTCTTATCAATGTAGATAAAACACAAGAGGTCTCCGAGATTCTTTCAAATTCTTTTAACATTGAGACACCATGGACCCTCAATTTTTTTTTAAATCATTTCAAAAACAAACACCAAAAGTCCTCGAGATTCTTTCAGATTCTTTAAAAATAAGACGCTAGGAGACGCCGAAATTTTTTCAATTTTTTTTTAATGAGAAACCAGAGTCCCCCGAATTTTTTCGAAAATATCTCAAAAACAAGACACTAGGAGTCCTCAACATTCTTTCAAATTCTTATCAATGTAGATAAAACACAAGAGGTCTCCGAGATTCTTTCAAATTCTTTTAACATTGAGACACCATGGACCCTCAATTTTTTTTTAAATCATTTCAAAAACAAACACCAAAAGTCCTCGAGATTCTTTCAGATTCTTTAAAAATAAGACGCTAGGAGACGCCGAAATTTTTTCAATTTTTTTTGTTTTAATGAGAAACCAGAATCCCCCGAATTTTTTCGAAAATATCTCAAAAACAAGACACTAGGAGTCCCCGACATTCTTTCAAATTCTTATCAATGTAGATAAAACACAAGAGGTTCCCGAGATTCTTTCAAATTCTTTTAACATTGAGACACCATGGACCCTCAATTTTTTTTTAAATCATTTCAAAAACAAACACCAAAAGTCCTCGAGATTCTTTCAGATTCTTTAAAAATAAGACGCTAGGAGACGCCGAAATTTTTACAATTTTTTTTTAATGAGAAACCAGAGTCCCCCGAATTTGTTCGAAAATATCTCAAAAACAAGACACTAGGAGACCCCAACTTTCTTTCAAATTCTTATCAATGTAGATAAAACACAAGAGGTCTCCGAGATTCTTTCAAATTCTTTTAACATTGAGACACCATGGACCCTCAATTTTTTTTTAAATCATTTCAAAAACAAACACCAAAAGTCCTCGAGATTCTTTCAGATTCTTTAAAAATAAGACGCTAGGAAATGCCGAAATTTTTTCAATTTTTTTTTTTAATGAGAAACCAGAGTCCCCCGAATTTTTTCGAAAATATCTCAAAAACAAGACACTAGGAGTCCCCGACATTCTTTCAAATTCTTATCAATGTAGATAAAACACAAGAGGTCTCCGAGATTCTTTCAAATTCTTTTAACATTGAGACACCATGGACCCTCAATTTTTTTTAAATTATTTCAAAAACAAACACCAAAAGTCCTCGAGATTCTTTCAGATTCTTTAAAAATAAGACGCTAGGAAACGCCGAAATTTTTTCATTTTTTTTTTTTTAATGAGAAACCTGAGTCCCCCGAATTTTTTCGGAAATATCTCAAAAACAAGACACTAGGAGACATTTTTTCAAGATCTTCTCAATGTAGCTAAAACACAAGAGATTTCTGAGAATCTTAAAAATTCTTTTAACACTGAAACGCCAAGAACTTCCGAATTTTTTTCGAATTATCTCAAAAACAAGAGGTGCCTGAGAATCTTTCAAACTGTTTTAGAAGCAGTAGACGTACCAGGGATCCCCGAGACAGTCTTAGGTACGCAGACAGAGTCAGAAGAGAGTCAAAACGAGATGGACCTCCTCTCCATGGAGGACGAGCTTTTGGAGAACAGCAGAAACGTCATCGACAGTTGTGTCTACTTCCACAAGATGGCTTGTCAGTGGTACGACAGCAGCAAGCAGGCGGGGTACAGTAAGTATGAGTTTGCCAAGAACTGGAAGAATTTGCTGAGGGAGATGATTGATGTGCAGAAGATTGCCTACGTTAAGGCGGCGGAGTTTTGCGAGATGTTGGAAGATGAAGCTTGATTGTGACATGGCAGTAAATTTTAATAAATTATTTATTGAAGGTTGTTTACGTGTAAAGATCCACCAATTCTGCACTTTGTGTTAAAAATGCCACATTCTTTTTTAAATGAGATATGCAACACATAGTACACAATCACAATTAATTAATATTTCTTAGTTATAAATTAATCCTATACGTTAGACCACAATCACTGAAGACAAATTCATGTTTGTGGTTGTCGAAATCCTGGTATTTTTGTCTTGAAGAATTTTGCGGTTTTTCGATTTTACCCTTTTCGTTCGCTCCGCCTCTGCGTTGACGTTTCCGTGGCGTCATCTCTCGGCGCCCGCCCGAACTATTCAAGTTGACAACAAAAGACATTTTACCGCAAAAGCGAAGTTTTTGTGACGAAAATTCCATGAGACATCCGAGTTTTTTCGCATTTTATCTCTGGGAGTGAGTCGACTACGCGTTTCCAAGCATTGGTTCGGTCTGAATTATGAAGAGACGAAACTATGAGATCGGTAAGATGAGAAGACCCATGAAAAGGAACAAAATCACCGAAGGGATTTACGGAAGGTACGTTTCCGCGTCGGAATGTGACAATCCACGTGCCGAAATCTCCCGACACCTCACAGTCTAAGCGGACTCGTCCCATATGTCTTTCAAAATGGCTGGTTGCCCCAAACAAAGCCCCAATTTCGAAATTCCGGAGAAGCTCCTGAGGGAAAGGGGTGTCTAGGCGCGCTCGGCGGGGCGCCCGCGGCGCCCCCCTCGCCCCCAAAGACGTGACATAGGTTAGGAGGCAGCTGTCAAAACACATTTATTTTTATCTCGATAAGCCAGCAGCGTAACGCTGGATTATGTACATTGCAAAGACCCCCAATTACGTCACGCATTACGAGCGCACGACGACTCTGACGGGATTGTTTTTTTGCAGCACTATCCTTTACCTCAGGTTCCTCGTCGTCTGGGCGATGGTGATTCTGGCCGATTTCATCCTGGAGTTCCGATTCGAGTTCCTGTGGCCGTTCTACTTGCTGCTGCGCTCGGTTTATGACTCCTTCAAGTACCAGGGTCTGGCCTTCTCCATATTCTTCGTGTGTATAGCGCTCACGTCGGATATGCTGTGCTTCTTCTTCATCCCGGTCCATTGGCTCTTTTTCGCCGCCAGCACCTACGTGTGGGTCCAGTACGTCTGGCACACAGACAAGGGCATTTGTGCGCCTACTATAATCCTGTGGGTGCTTTTCGTGTACCTGGAAGCGGCTGTGAGGTTACGGGACGTCAAACACATGCCCGGACACCTGGACCTGTGTAGGCCCTTCGCCGCGCACTGTATAGGCTACCCCGTCGTTACCCTAGGATTTGGGTTTAAATCATATGTAGGGTAAGCCCCAAATTATTTTCTCTTAAATATAATCATAATCATAAACTCCCAATCAGTTGACGTTTCGGCGGGAATTTACAGTTCCATAGTCGGTCCGTTTCCATTTTTTCACAAAAACGTCAACCCAACAATGTTTTTATTCAAGTAGGAAGCAGGTGTTTACTCGGTTAAATATGCAAATTACCCGTTTTCGTGTCACTAATGAAAAAGAACGGACGTAAGAGAATTGTAGTGAAAGGTGCGGACCCACTTCCAGATGATTTATTTTTATTGTAAAACAAATGTGTGTTTAGGGTATTTTATTTATAGAAACATCTGCTATATTTTTATCGGAACGTTTGCGTTTGCTTCGACAGGTATAATGACGTCATTGAAGCTTCCTTCGCCTGCTTTATTGCATCCATTAGCGAAGCAGTTTTGTTCGAATTTTATTGATAAATATTTTAAGATAGTTTCGCGAATTCGCCAGTCCAAGGTTACGGAAACATCATAATAAATACGAAAACAGTATTCTCGTTACCGTTATAAGCGACAAAAGTGTCACAAATCGACAAAAGAACGGAACTCGAACACGCAAGATGTTGTCCGATTTAGTAAACTTTAACATGTTTGCATACACATCGTAAAATTTGATTGCAGCTGTTATTGGCGTTCTTAAAAAAGGTTTAAAAATATTAGAACGGTTTTATTCTCTGCACATTGTCGTTAAATAAACAAGGAAACAATTAAAACAACATTGGATTTTTTTGTGAATGTTGAAATTTATTTTTAAGATAATAATGTTGGCAACGCTTTCCTTGTTCAGTTTGACAGATATGGTGTTAGGAAATCCAGGCTTCACCCCATTGTTTATTAAGTTATAACTAAGGTTTCTGGATGTCTTTATTTAAGTATTAATAATTGAGCGAAATTTTCGCGCTTAAAATTCATACCCTCGTGGACTCGAAAAACGGGAGGGGTTTAATATTTTCTTACAGGTTTAATAGTTTAACTTTTTCTTATAGAGTCTTTTATAAGCCAGCAATAGCTCCGCCCATCCACCCCCTCTCATTTCAAACCAAAATCAGTCTAATCTTAACAAATACTAGTCCCGCCCACCCACCCTCTCTTTTCTTAGAATGTATGTAATTTGCCACAATTAGTCTTATCTTGTCAAGTACGATTTTATCTCTCTTCAATTGAGATCTACCTTTCATTCGGACTTGACAAAATGAATCACTGAAATCGAAACAACGAAAATTCGAGAAAACCGAAAATTGAAAAATCGTAAAATTAAAACTCAAGAACCTGAAAAATCGAAAAATTGGAAATTGACAGAAGCGAAAAGTTGAAAAATCGAAAAATTCGAAAATTTGATAATCTAAAAATTCAAAAATTTAAAGTTGTAAACTCAAAAAATTGCATATCGAACAACTGAACTTATCTTATTAATAAACCTTACGAACGAACGAAAAATTGCAAAAACTAAAAATTAAAATATTTGAAAGTTGAAAAATCGAGTACTCGAAAAATTGAAAACCGAAAAGTTGCCGAAACTAAGGATTGAAAAACGAAAAATCACAATTTCTAAAATTGAAAAATCGTCAAATCGAAAAATTGAAAATCAAAACTTGCAAATCGAAAAACCGAAGAAGCGGAAAGTATTCAAAAGTGGGAAAATCGGGAAAAGAAAAATTTGGGATTCACAGCTCAAAAAATCGCATATGGAAAAGTTGTAAACCGAAAAGTTGAAAAAACGTGAAATTCAAAAATTAAGCTCATTTTTAAGTAATTTTAGATTTTTCAATTTTTCGATTTCTTCATTTATTTTCGATTGCCATCTGGGTTGTTCAATTTTTCGAAATTTGACGTTTTCAAAATTTCCATTTCTCGATTAATCGATTTTCCGGTTTTTTGTTATTTCGACTTTTTGGTTTTAGATTTTTTGGTTTTTCAATTTTTTTGATTCTTCAATCCCTTGAGTCCTCAAATTTTCAATTTTCCGAATTTTTCGAGCTCGCAGGTTTGCCATGTTTCAGGTTTACGATTTTTCGATTTTTTTATTTTTAAATTTTGTCAATTTATTTTTCAAATTTTGACGTTTTCAAAATTCCCATTTCTCAATTTCTCGATTTATCGATTTTCCGGTTTTTTGATTTTTTGATATTTCGACTTTTTGCTTTTAGATTTTTCGGTTTTTCAATTTTTTTGATTCTTCAATTCCTTGATTCCTCAAATTTTCAATTTTCCGATTTTTTCCAGTTCTCAATTTTGCGATGTTTCAGGTTTACGATTTCTCAATTTCTCGATTAATCGAATTTCCGGTTTTTTGATTTTTTAATATTTCGACTTTTTGGTTTTAGATTTTTCGGTTTTTCAATTTTTTTGATTCAATTCCTTGATTCCTGAAATTTTTTCTTTATTATTACTATTATTATTAAGTTCGCATATATTTGTATTTTTGTTCCCATTAGGACGTTAAATGTCTGTGGGAAAATTAACTACCATTATTATTATTATTATTAATTTTCAATTTTCCGATTTTTTCGAGTTCTCAATTTTGCGATGTTTCAGGTTTACGATTTTTCAATTTTTTTATGTTAAAATTTTCTCAATTTATTTTTCAAATTTTGACGTTTTCAAAATTCCAATTTCTCGATTTCTCGATTAATCGATTTTCCGGTTTTTTGATTTTTTGATATTTCGACTGTTTGGTTTTAGATTTTTCGGTTTTTCAATTTTTTTGATTCTTCAATTCCTTGATTCCTCAAATTTTCAATTTCCCGATTTTTTCGAGTTCTCAATTTTCCGATGTTTCAGTTTTGCGATTTTTCAATTTTTTTATTTTAAGTTTTTTTCAATTTTCCGAAGTTTCAGTTTTTCAATTCTTCAATTTTTCGATTTTTCAGGTTTTGATTTTTCAATTTTAGGTTTTTGGACTTTTCGATTTTTTTCAATTTTCTTGATTCTTCAGTTCCTTGATTCCTCAAATTTTCAGTTTCCCAATTTTTTCATTTTTCGAGTTCTCAAGTTCTGATGTTTCAGTTTTACGATTTTTCAATTTTTTTTTAATTTTTCAATTTTTCGATTTTTGTGGTTTCCGAATTTCAGTTTTTTCGATTTCTCAATTTGTCGATTAATCGATTTTTTGATTTTAGGACTTTTTGATTTTTCGACTCGATTTCTCAACTTTTCGATGCTTCAATTTTTCGTTTTTTTAAATATTCGATTTTTCGACTTTCCGATTTTTTACTTTTTCCAATTTTAAATTTTAGATTTTGTTGCTCCGATTTCTCGATTTTTCAGTTTTTCGATTCTTCAATTTTTCGATTTTTAAATTTTGGATTTTGCAATTTCTCAACTTTTAACATTTTTGATTTTTCGATTGTTCAAATTTTGGATTTTAAAATTTTTCAATTTCTCAATTTCTCGATTAATCTATTTTCTGTTTTTTCGACTTCTCGGTTTTTCAATTTTTCGATTCTTCAGATTTTGGATTTCCCGAATTTTTCATTTTTCGAGTTCTCAATTTTCCGATGTTTCAGGTTTTCGATTTTTCAAATTTTAGGTTTTTTAAATTTTCGATTTTTGGACTTTTCGATTTCTCGATTTTTCAATTTTTCGATGTTTCTGTTTTGAGATATTTCAATTTTTCGATTTCTCAAATTTTTTATTTTTTCCATTTTTAAATTTTAGAGTTTTCAGTTGTTTGACTTTTTGATGCTCTGATTTTTGGAATTTTTCAATATTTCGATTCTTCAATTTTTCGATTTTTCGAGTTTTGGACTTTTTGATTTTTTCAATTTTTTTTATTCTTCAGTTTCTTGATTCTTCAAATTTTCAATTTCCCAATTTCTTCATTTTTCAAGTTCTCAAGTTTCTGATGTTTCAGTTTTATGATTTTTCAATTTTTTTAATTTTTCTATTTTTCGATTTTTGAGGTTTCTGAATTTCAGTTTTTTCGATTTCTCAATTTGTCGGTTAATCGATTTTTTGATTTTCTGACTTCTCGATTTCTCAATTTTTCAATGCTTCAATTCTTCAATTTTTCGTTTTTATAAATATTCGATTTTTCGACTTTTCGATTTTCTGATTTTTAGCTTTTTCCAATTTAAAATTTTAGATTTTGTTGCTCCGATTTCTCGATTTTTCACTTTTTCGATTTTTTAAATTTTGGATTTTGCAATTTTTCAACTTTGAACATTTTTGATTTTTCGATTGTTCAAATGTTGGATTTTTAAATTTTTCAATTTCTCGATTAATCTATTTTCTGGTTTTTCGACTTCTCGGTTTTTCAATTTTTCGATTTTTCAGGTTTTCGATTTTTCAATTTTTCGGTTTTTAAAATTTTCGACTTTTGGACTTTTCGATTTCTCGATTTTTCAATTTTTAGATGTTTCTGTTTTGAGATTTTCAATTTTTCGATTTCTCAAATTTTTTATTTTTTCCATTTTTAAATTTTAGAGTTTTCAGTTTTTTGACTTTTTTATGCTCCGTTTTTTGAAATTTTTCAATATTTCGATTCTTCAATTTTTCGATTTTACAAGTTTCTGATGTTTCAGTTTTACGATTTTTTATTTTTTTTTAATTTTTCAATTTTTCTATTTTTGAGGTTTCTGAATTTCAGTTTTTTCGATTTTTTGATTTTTTGACTTCTCGATTTCTCAACTTTTCAATGCTTTAATTTTTCAATTCTTGAATTTTTCGTTTTTTTAAATATTCGATTTTCCGATTTTCCGATTTTTTACTTTTTCCAATTTTAAATTTTAGATTTTGTTGCTACGATTTCTCGATCTTTCAGTTTTTCAATTCTTCAATTTTTCGATTTTTTAAATTTTGAATTTTGTAATTTTTCAATTTTTAACATTTTTGATTTTTCGATTGTTCAAAGTTTGGATTTTAAAATTTTTCAATTTCTCAATTTCTCGATTAATCTATTTTCTGGTTTTTCGACTTCTCGGTTTTTCAATTTTTCAAGTCTTCAGATTTTGGATTTCCCGTTTTTTTCATTTTTCGAGTTCTCAATTTTCCGATGTTTCAGTTTTTCAATTCTTCAATTTTTCGGTTTTTTAAATTTTCGATTTTTGGACTTTTCGATTTTTCAATTTTTCGATGTTTGTTTTGGGATTTTTCAATTTTTCGATTTCTCAACTTTTTTATTTTATCCATTTTTAAATTTTAGATTTTTCAGTTTTGTGACTTTTTGATGCTCCGATTTTTGGAATTTTTCAATTTTTCGAGTTTTAACTTTTTAGAATTTTTTGATGTTTCGATTTCTGTATTTTTCAATTTTTCAATTCTTCAATTTTTTGGTATTTTAATTTTTAAAATTTCATTTTTTTCGTTTTCTCAATTTTTAATTTGCTCGAAATTTCTTCTATTTTTCTATGTTTCAGTTTTTCAATTTCTCGATGTTTCGATTTTTTTATTTGCCAATTTTTCGCCATTTCACTTTTGGAATTGCTCATCGCAGTAGTGAAGAAGCCAAAAATTGAAAAATCTAAAAACTGAAAAATCGAAAAATAGAAAAAACAAATAATCGAGAAATCGAAAAATCGAAACATTAGAAACTCGAAACAACGAACAGTCGAGAAGTCGATTAGAAAAGTAGAAAAATAAAAAAAAGAAAAGTTTAAGAACAAAAAAATGGAGAAATCCAGAAAAATTGAAATATCAAAAATTGCCAATTGCAAAAGTGAAGAAGCCGAAAACCAAAAAATCTAAAAATTAAAAATCAAGAACCTGAAAAACCCAAAAATTGAAAATTTAAAAATCGAAGAAGCAAACGGTGAAAAATCGAAAAATTCAAAAATTTGATAATTTAAAAATTCAGAAATTTAAAACGGAAAACTTGAGAAATTACAAATAAAAAATTAAAGAAGCGGAAAACTGAATAACTGAAACAACCAATGAATAAGTGAAGGAAAGAAAAATTGGAAAGACTAAAAATGAAAAAATTTAAAAATTGAAAAATCCAAAAAATGTCAAACAGAAGAAGCAAAAAAGTTAAAGAAGCGAAAATTGAAAAATTAAAGCACTTGCTAAAATAAAACTGATATTGCCAAATGGCATACCCTCGAAGAAAATAAAGGGTGGGTGGGCGGGGCCAATACTTGCCACGAAAGACTGATTTTGCCAAATGATATATCCTCTACCCATCATTTTCGTAGAGGGTATGGAGCCTCTAGTGTCTTTTCTAATAATAATTTAATTAAATTCTCTCTCTTTTCTTAGAAGTTATGTCATTTGCCAAAATCATCCTTATTTTAGCAGGTGTTAACCCCTAAAATTCCGCAAAATCAATTTTAATAATTTTGCAAACAGTATTTGTTGGACTGTACTTCAGGCGAGGGAAGTTCAGTCGAAATAATTTTCGACCAGTTTTTTTGTATGTGATGTAGGGGTTTCGCAGACCGGGTAAAGAGTATAATATGCGGCAGGTTTTTCAGACTTTGAAATGTGGAGTGTAAGAACTTGTGTATTTTAAAATAAAATTTTAAAAACTTGAACATAAATATAACAAATCAGATAACAGCAATTTAGCAGAACAGGAAATTAAAAAATAAAGTGCCAACATGCGTTGCCTTTTTTATATATATAATTTTAGTTTTTTTGCGTCATTATCACCTCAGCCAATCAAACGCAAACATAATTAATCTCATAAACATAAAACAAATGATCAAACTTCTCGACGAATTAGCTCCACATATTCGAAAATAGCCCACTAATGGCTCACGAACCGCTTATCTCGCCCTTATTAAACTTCACCGTCCCCAAACATGCAACCCCTCGCACACTTCTCACATTCCCCAACTCTGCCCCCAGATACAGGATGCGGCAACGACGACAGCGCGACGTCGCGAAAGAGAACGAGTTCTACATGCAGCTGATGCAGCAAGCGCTGCCGCTGGACGCGGTGGCGCCGCCTCCCGCCGCCCAGCAGCCGCCCCCGGAGCAGCCAGCCTCCACAGCCATCGTACCTGCCCCCGTACAAAACGCCAAAGTGCACAGCCACAGCAGCGGCGGCAAGCTGCACCAACACCCCCACCCCCACCACCCGGACAGGTACCACAAATTCGCGCAATATTTTCTCTACGATCATCAATGTGTTTGTTTTGCAGGAACGGGCACGTGCCGAACGGGACGATAGCCAACGGCGTGCACCCGACGTCGCGGGCGCACCACAGGAAGTCAGTGGACAAGTGTAGGGAGCACGAGGACGCGCACAGACACGCAGACAGACAGCGACAGAGCGCGCACGCGCACACGAACGGCGCGGCGGTGGGAGCCGGCGCCGAGGAGGCGGCGCAAGAACACGAACAGCGGGCGGCGGCGGCGGCGCGGCGGAGGGAGAAGAAGGAGCAGGACAAGGAGCGGGAGGCGGCGGAGTACCTGCAGAAGCTCGAGGCCGACGCGAAGAGGCTGAGGGCGGATCTGCAGAGCAGCAGGGCGAGCGAGCAGGAGCTGAGGTTGCAGGTGGGTCCATAACTAGGTTTAGCCGGAAGTGACAGCCACATTTTTGTTTCATTTTTTTATTTTTTTTATTATTTTATTTTTGTCGAATAAGACAGGGAGAGAGTAAGACTGATTAGGGAAACAGATAAGAGTGACTAGGGAAACAGATAAGACTGACTAGGTAAACAGAGGCTGCATTATTTTATTATTATTTTTATACATGGTAAGAAGTTTAAGGTCACAGTTATATTAAATAACTGCTAATTGTGTCGTTTCATAAACATTTCAATGGTGTGATAATTGTTTGTAAACACAGAAACGACTGTTTTAATTGGTTTTTATTGCTCATAAATGCTCAAGGTTTTATATTTTAATTTTCGTTTAGAGAGTATAAACATGAACGATGAAAAGTTCGAAATTGAGGTTATGTTACGTTAGATAGGTTAGAAAGACAGTACAAATTTTTGAAACGGAAGGCTGATTTTGTGTTCCAGTAGGTTAGCTAGCAGTAGGTTTTTTACATTTTATTTGATAAGCATTCCATTATATGATAAGGTGCGACCTGTAAAGGTCGATTTATAAACTTGCCGCTGACGTAGCTGTTAGCCGTTGACGTTGCCGTAAGATAAATACGCAGCGAAGGTCCGTTGACGTTCGAGATGACCAACTTTTAACTTTCTTAACAACAAGAAAGGAAAAGCATGTTTAAAATGGTAAATTTTTGTAGGAAAGTAGTGATTTTGCAATTAGACTCCGCGTCTCGGCTTACGACGAATAAAAAAAATCATCAGAATTGAGATAGGGTGGGTGGGCGGGGCTTATATTTTGCCTTCTTTTTCTTAATATACAGAGCCATCTTTTCACAACAAGAAACTTAAAACATGGTTAAAATGGTAGGTTTTTGCAAGGAAATATGGATTTTTTTATACAAATTTTCCATTTTAAACATACTTTAAGTTTCATGTTGTGAAAAGAAGTCTACATATATTAATACAAAAAGGCAAAATTTAAGCCCGCCCACCCACCCTATCTCGATTGTGATGATTTTTTTTATTTGCCTGCAAAATACTTATTTCTTTACAAGAAATTAAAAATGTTGTTCAAAAAATACTATGAATACATATTAAAGAAAAAAAGGCAAAATATAAATCCCCGCCCACCCACCCTATCTCAGTTGTGATATTTTTTTTTATTAGAAACTTAAAACATGTTTAAAATGGTAAATTTTTGTAGGAAAGTCTCGATTTTGCAATTAGACTCCGCCTCTCGGCTTACGACGAATAAAAAAAAAATCATCAGAATTGAGCTAGGGTGGGTGGGCGGGGCTTATATTTTGCCTTCTTTTTCTTAATATACAGAACCATCTTTTCACAAGAAGAAACTTAAAACATGGTTAAAATGGTACATTTTTGCAAGGAAATATGGATATTTCCTTATACAGATTTTCCATTTTAAACATGTTTTAAGTTTCATGTTGTAAAAAGAAGTCTACACATATTTAAACAAAAAGACAAAATGTAAGCCCGCCCCCCACCCTATCTCGATTGTGATGATTTTTTTTATTTGCCTTTATTTGCCTGCAAAATACTTATTTCTTTACAAGAAATTAAAAATGTTGTTCAAAAAATACTATGAATACATATTAAAGAAAGAAAGGCAAAATATAAATCCCCGCCCACCAACCCTATCTCAGTTGTGATATTTTTTTTTATTCTTAGAAACTTAAAACATGTTTAAAATGGTAAATTTTTGTAGGAAAGTCTCGATTTTGCAATTAGACTCCGCCTCTCGGCTTACGACGAATAAAAAAAAAATCATCAGAATTGAGCTAGGGTGGGTGGGCGGGGCTTATATTTTGCCTTCTTTTTCTTAATATACAGAACCATCTTTTCACAAGAAGAAACTTAAAACATGGTTAAAATGGTACATTTTTGCAAGGAAATATGGATATTTCCTTATACAGATTTTCCATTTTAAACATGTTTTAAGTTTCATGTTGTAAAAAGAAGTCTACACATATTTAAACAAAAAGGCAAAATGTAAGCCCGCCCCCCACCCTATCTCGATTGTGATGATTTTTTTTATTTGCCTTTATTTGCCTGCAAAATACTTATTTCTTTACAAGAAATTAAAAATGTTGTTCAAAAAATACTATGAATACATATTAAAGAAAGAAAGGCAAAATATAAATCCCCGCCCACCAACCCTGTCTCAGTTGTGATATTTTTTTTTATTCTTAGAAACTTAAAACATGTTTAAAATGGTAAATTTTTGTAGGAAAGTATCGATTTTGCAATTAGACTCCGCCTCTCGGCTTACGACGAATAAAAAAAAATCATCAGAATTGAGATAGGGTGGGTGGGCGGGGCTTATATTTTGCCTTCTTTTTCTTAATATACAGAGCCATCTTTTCACAACAAGAAACTTAAAACATGGTTAAAATGGTACATTTTTGCAAGGAAATATGCATATTTCCTTATACAGATTTTCCATTTTAAACATGTTTTAAGTTTCATGTTGTAAAAAGAAGTCTACACATATTTAAACAAAAAGGCAAAATGTAAGCCCGCCCCCCACCCTATCTCGATTGTGATGATTTTTTTTATTTGCCTTTATTTGCCTGCAAAATACTTATTTCTTTACAAGAAATTAAAAATGTTGTTCAAAAAATACTATGAATACATATTAAAGAAAGAAAGGCAAAATATAAATCCCCGCCCACCAACCCTATCTCAGTTGTGATATTTTTTTTTATTCTTAGAAACTTAAAACATGTTTAAAATGGTAAATTTTTGTAGGAAAGTATCGATTTTGCAATTAGACTCCGCCTCTCGGCTTACGACGAATACAAAAAAAAATCATCAGAATTGAGCTAGGGTGGGTGGGCGGGGCTTATATTTTGCCTTCTTTTTCTTAATATACAGAACCATCTTTTCACAAGAAGAAACTTAAAACATGGTTAAAATGGTACATTTTTGCAAGGAAATATGGATATTTCCTTATACAGATTTTCCATTTTAAACATGTTTTTTATTTGCCTTGAACCAAGGGGGCGGAGCTTAACTGCAAAATACTTATTTCTTTACAAGAAATTAAAAATGTTGTTCAAAGAATACTATGAATATATATTAAAGAAAGAAGGGCAAAATATAAATCCCCGCCCACCCACCCTATCTCGGTTGTGATTTTTTTTTATTCTTAGAAACTTAAAACATGTTTAAAATGGTAAATTTTTGTAGGAAAGTATTGATTTTGCAATTAGACTCCGCCTCTCGGCTTACGACGAATAAAAAAAAAAATCATCAGAATTGAGATAGGGTGGGTGGGCGGGGATTATAATTTGTCTTCTTTTTCTTAATATACAGAGCCATCTTTTCACAACAAGAAACTTAAAACATGGTTAAAATGGTACATTTTTGCAAAGAAATATGCATATTTCCTTATACAGATTTTCCATTTTAAACATGTTTTAAGTTTCATGTTGTAAAAAAAAGTCTACACATATTTAAACAAAAAGGCAAAATGTAAGCCCGCCCACCCGCCCTATCTCGATTGTGATGATTTTTTTATTTGCGTTGAACCAAGGGGGCGGAGCTTAACTGCAAAATACTTATTTCTTTACAAGAAATTAAAAATGTTGTTCAAAGAATACAATATATATATAATGAATATATATTAAAGAAAGAAGGGCAAAATATAATTGACACCCCAACCAACCTATCTCAGTTGTGATGTTTTTTTTTTATTCTTAGAAACTTAAAATATGTTTAAAATGGTAAATTTTTGTAGGAAAGTATCGATTTTGCAATTAGACTCCGCCTCTCGGCTTACGACGAATAAAAAAAAATCATCAGAATTGAGATAGGGTGGGTGGGCGGGGCTTATATTATGCCTTCTTTTTCTTAATATACAGAGCCATCTTTTCACAACAAGAAACTTAAAACATGGTTAAAATGGTACATTTTTGCAAGGAAATATGGATATTTCCTTATACAGAGTTTCCATTTTAAACATGTTTTAAGTTTCATGTTGTGAAAAGAAGTGTACACATATTTAAACAAAAAGGCAAAATGTAAGCCCGCCCACCCACCCTATCTCGATTGTGATGATTTTTTTTTATTCGCCGTGAACCAAAATACTTATTTCTTTACAAGAAATTAAAAATGTTGTTCAAAGAATACTATGAATATATATTAAAGAAAGAAGGGCAAAATATAAATCCTCGCCCACCCACCCTATCTCAGTTGTGATATTTTTTTTTATTCTTAGAAACTTAAAACATGTTTAAAATGGTAAATTTTTGTAGAAAAGTATCGATTTTGCAATTAGACTCCACCTCTCGGCTTACGACGAATAAGAAAAAAATCATCAGAATTGAGATAGGGTGGGCGGGGCTTATATTTTGCCTTCTTTTTCTTAATATACATAGCCATCTTTTCACAACAAGAAACTTAAAACATGGTTAAAATGGTACATTTTTGCAAGGAAATATGAATATTTCCTTATACAGATTTTCCATTTTAAACATACTTTAAGTTTCATGTTCTGAAAAGAAGTGTACACATATTTAAACAAAAAGGCAAAATGTAGGCCCGCCCACCCGCCCTATCTCGATTGTGATGATTTTTGTATTTGCCTTGAACCAAGGGGGCGGAGCTTAACTGCAAAATACTTATTTCTTTACAAGAAATTAAAAATGTTGTTCAAAGAATACAATGAATATATATTAAAGAAAGAAGGGCAAAATATAATTGACCCCCCAACCAACCTATCTCAGTTGTGATGTTTTTTTTTTTATTCTTAGAAACTTAAAATATGTTTAAAATGGTAAATTTTTGTAGGAAAGTATCGATTTTGCAATTAGACTCCGCCTCTCGGCTTACGACGAATAAAAAAAAAATCATCAGAAGTGGGGCTTAATCTTTGGCTTTCGTTTTTTCTTAACATACATAGTATTCTTTGAACAACACAATACTCGAAAACATGTTTTTAATTTTTCGTAGAGAAATAAGGATTTTGCAGTTAAGCTCCGCCCTCTTGGCTCACGACGAATAAAAAAATCATTACAATTGAGATAGGGCGGGTGGGTGGGGTTTATATTTTGCCTTTTTTTTTCTTAATATATATAGTCATCTTTTCATAACAAGAAACTTAAAACATAATTAATTGATTTTTACAAGGAAACATGGATTTTGCAATTATGGGGCGAAATGTATTGCAAAATCGATATTTCCTTATACAAATTTTCCATGTTAAACATATTTTAAGTTTTATGTTGTGAAAAGAAGTCTACACATACTAAAACAAAAAAACAAAATGTTGTGATGATTTTTTTATGCGCCGTTAAGCAAGGGGGCGGAACTTAACTGCAAAATACTTATTTCTGTACAAGAAATCAAAAACATGTTTTGAGTATCGTGTTGTTCAAAGAGTAATATGTACATTAAGAAATAAAGTAAAATATAAACCCCGCCCACCCACCCTATCTCAATTCTGACGATTTGTTTTATTCTTAGAAACTTAAAACACGTTTAAAATGATAAATTTTTGTAAGAAATTATGGATTTTGCGATTAGGCTTAATCTTTAGCTTTAATTTTTTCTTAATATGCATAGTATATGTCTTACATGGTAATTTCTTGTATAGAAATAATTAGGTTTTTGCAGTTAAATTCCGCTGCTTTGGCTCTCGACGATTAAAAAAAAAAATCAGAAGTGAGACAGGGCGGGTGAGCGGGGCTTACATTTTGCTTTTTGTTTTTTTTTCTTAATATCATAGCCATCTTTTCACAACAATAAATTTAGTATATGGTTAAAATGGTACATTTTTGCAAGGAAATATGGATTTTGCAATTATGGGGCGGAGTCTAATTGCAAAATCGATATTTCCTTATACAAATTTAAAATTTTAAACATGTTTTAAGTTTTATGTTGTGAAAAGAAGTCTACACAAATTAAAACAAAAAGACAAAATATAAGCCCGCCCACCCGCCCTATCTCCATTGTGATGAATCTTATCTGCAAAATACTTATATCCTTACAAGAAATTAAAAACATGTTTTCGAGTATTATGTTGTTCAAAGAATACTTGTAGAATTGTGTATTAAGGAAAAAAGCCAAAAAATAAATCCCGCCCACCCACCCCTTCTCAATTCTGATGATTTTTTTATTCTTAGAAACTTAAAATACGTTTAAAAATGGTAATTTTTTGTAAAGAAATGGATTTTGTAATTAGAGTCCGCCTCTAGGTCTGCCGACGAATGAAAACTTCGTTACTATTTAGATCAGGGCAGGTTTCGGTGGAGCTTAATCTTGTAATTTTTCCTTAATATACATTGTATTCTTTGAACGATGCGATACTCAAAAACATGTTTTTAATTACCTGTAACGAAATAAGTACTTTGCAGTTAAGCTCCGCCTTCTTGGCTCACGACGAATAAAAAAATCATCACAATTGGGATAGGGTGGGTGGGCGGGGCTTATATTTTGCCTTTTTTCTTAACACACGCAGTCGTCTTTTCAGAACAAGAAACTTACAACATGTTTAAAATGGTAAATTCTTGTAGACAAGTATGGATCTTGCAATTAAGCCCCGCCCCTCGATCTGACAACGAAAAAAAAATTCGTGACAATTGAGAATTGAGATCAGGGCGGGTATGGGTGGGGCCTAACAAAAACAAGCATTTTTCAGTTAAGCTCCGCCCTCTTGGCTGAAGACGAATAAAGAAAATCATCATAATTGAGATAGGGCGGGTGGGCGGGGCTACATTTTGCCTTTTTTTCTGAATATCTGTAGACTTATTTCGACGAAATGTTGTGAAAGTCCCTAATATTCTAACCCTTTCAAAGGTTTTAAGGATTTCAGGGATGCCAAAAACTAAGGACAACAAGGATTTCAGGAATTTAAAAAAATTAAAAAAAGGTAGAGAAGCCGGTAATTTAAGAATTCTAAAGGGATTTCAAGGATCTCAAAAATTCCGAAGATCCGACAGATTGTAAATATTTAAAAATTGGAAAGATGATAAAAATTTTAAAGATATAAAAATATTTAAAATTCTAGAGATACTGAAGTATCTAAAAGTAAAGAAAATCTGAAAAGTCTAAAGATTATAGAAATTGAAGAAATTTTAGGCTTTATAAAACTTTTATGCTTTCTTTAATTTTTATAAATTAGAGATTCTAAAATTCTTCAGTCTATAAATTTTAGAAAATTAAAAAAAAATTAGAAAGTGAAGGGAAAATGTGCTAGACCTAGAAATCTTGCAAATATTGGAAAAGGTTGAATTTCAAATTTCTGGTATAACTAATTTTAGAAATTTAGGAAAATATGGAAATTTTGAAAAACTTGCAAATTACGAAAATTCCCAAAAATTCAAAGAAAATAAAAAAATATTAACTCTCGAAATTTCAAAAGTTTACACAATCTTAAGATTGTAGATATTCTAAAAATCGCAAAGTTTCCAAATGTTTAAAATATTTAAGAGGTTTCAAACCTTTCAAAAATTCGAAAGACTCGATACATTCCAAAAATCTTAAAAATTTTCATACACTAGAATCTGGGAACTGTAGATACCCCAAAGATGCTAAATAAACCAAAGTTTTAGGTTCTAAATAGAAGAAACATCCAACAAAATCTTCAAAATTGTAAAAAAAAATTAAAAAAAAAAAGGTAGAGAAGCCAGCAATTTAAGAATTCTAAAGGGATTTCAGGGATTTCAAAAATTCCGAAGATCTGACAGATTGTAAATATTTAAAAATTGGAAAGATGATAAAAATCTTAAATTTATAAAAATATTTAAAATTCTAGAGATACTGAAGTATCTAAAAGTAAAGAAAATCGGAAAAGTCTAAAGATTATAGAAATTCTAGTGATTCTAGATTCTAGGGGGTTCTAAAGATTCCAGACTTTCCAGGGGTTTGAAAGATCCAAAAAATATAAAAGCTTTCACGGATTGCAGACACTAGAAATGTTCTAAGTATAAAAAGATCCAATAAAATCTTAGAAATTTTAAAGAACCTGGGGTACTAATGGTCCTATTATATTTCCTTGTAAAAATGTACAATTTTAAGCATGTTCTAAGTTTCTTGTTGCAAAAATAGCTATGTATATCAAGAGAAAAAAAAAAGGGATAGTATAAGCCCCGCCCACCCACCCTATCTCAATTGTGATGATTTGTTTTTATCCGCTGTGAACCAAAGGGGCGTAATTTAACTAGAAAATACTTATTTTTTTTTCAATAAATTAAAAACATATTTTTGAGTATCGTGTTATTCAAAGAATAAATATGGCAAAACTTGAACATCAAAGTTACTACTTGGCACGGAGCTTATAAATGACAGTTTTCAGCTCTAAAAGCAACGTCAGCGGTGAATAACAGCAACTGCAACGGCAAGTTTATAAATCTCACTTAAGTACAAAATTTTCGTTTTTTTTAGTTTTATAGTTTATTTTTATATTTTCGGGTAAATCTTTATGTAGAGGCAAAATTAAATATATATTTTTTTAAATTGCATTTTATTAAGATCTGCTTTCCTGCTCCTAGTCCAACTAAAATAAAACAGAAGCCATAAGAACCAATTAGACTAACTTATATTGTTTCCGTAATGATTTCTCTTCTCTCTCATCTTCCGTTTCTTTCTTGTAACAATCACACTCGTGATTAAAGTACCTACTTTCGTCCCGCGATACATGCATGCAATTCCAGGTCGCCGCGCTCACGACAAGCGAAAAAGTGATCAAAGGCGAGCTGTCAACGATGCAGCGCGAGATCGAAGACCTACAACAGAGGTACCAAAGCGCGATCAGTTCTCGTGCTTCCGACAAACAGACTATCAGCAACCTGGAACGAAGAGTAGCCGAAGAAAGACGAACGCGATGTAACCTAGAATCGCAATTAAACCAAGAACGCAAAAGCAGAAAACAAGAGGAGGCCAGAGCGGCACAAGTAAGAATCCAAATGCGAAAACAGAGGGCGCTAGTGAAAGCTGTAAGCTTTGGCATTGGTATTTCGGGGTATTTTGGCAATGGGACTAACCCGCAGTGCTGCCAACAGCAGAAAAGCGCGACTTTCGCTTTCCTGCTGGTGGCAGCTCGAAATCAGTCGAGTTTTACCTAACAACTAAAGTAGCGTCTAGTTTTTGCCACCGCAGCCTCGGTGCCCCAAATGTCTTTGGTTCCGTTTTTCCGCAGGTGGTGGCGCAGTCGTCGCGCGGCGAGTGCACGGAGGCGTGCCGCTCCCGGCGGCGCGAGCTCGAAACCGAGCTGGGGGAGTGCCGCGCCGCCAAGCACTGGGCCGAGGAGCGGTACGCCGCCCTCGAGCGCGAGAACGCCGCCCTCCTGGACCAGCTCCGCGACATGGACATACTCATGACAGCCCTTTCGGCCATGCAGGAGAAGAACGCCCACCTGGAGAACTCGCTGTCGGCCGAGACGCGGATCAAGCTCGACCTGTTCAGCGCGCTGGGGGAGGCGAAGCGCCAGCTGGAGATCCGAGAAAGTGAGTGCTTAAGTCGCCTCGACCCGACTTAACTGGGTTGTTGCAGGCTCGAACCGGACGCAGGAGCGCGAGATCGAGGAGCTGAAGAGCAAGATCGCGCAAGTGCTGGCCGTCATGCCGAACGACAGTTTCGGGGGCCCGGCGCCCTCCAGTAACATGTCGCGGGTGCGCCTGGCCGAGAGCCCCCCCGGATCGACCCTGGACCCGAACGCCACGGCCTACACGCCCAAGAGCTCCCTGGTGGCCTCCACGGAGGCCTAGACCGACTCCGTACTGATCCCGGTATAGACTGCTACTGATTTGTTGCGTTGAGGCGCGGATTTCGTAATAGTCTCGTTTAGTAGCTTATTTAATGTGATATAATTTATGAGCGGTACCTTGTCGAGGCAAGCCCTTCGTTTTTGTTGGTTTAGTTAAGCGTAAAGGTACTGAGTTTTCTGACAGTTGGTCGCGATCGGCTGTTGATCTCTGTTTTGGTTTTTGTCCTTCCTGTCGAACCTGAGCTCTCGAGTGCCGTTTTGTTTGGTTCGCTGTAACCTACTAACAAGAATACGAGTTTCTTTTCGGAAGTGCCGTTAACCGCTGTTGGGTTTTGTTTTATGTGTTAACAAGAGGTGATAATTTCGGAAGTCAAAAAATGTACTTAATATATTTTTTTAATTGTTTTAGTTGAGACATTGTTTTCTTTTTATTACAAATACAGTAATAGTTCTTTTTTAAGTTTTTTTTTTTGTTTTTATTTTCGTTCCTTTAAGCGAACAACTTTGTCGGATGCGTGCTATTATTTATTTGCCATATTTATTTTTCCTTATTTTGTAAAGTGGTATTTATTTTTTTACTGTTGCAACTTTATTTCGTAAATAAACACTATTACAGCTTTATTTTTTCTTTCGCATTTTCGTTCTGCTAGAGTAAGGATTTTTGTGCGACGAAGGCAAAGTGTACCAACGCAAACAACGCCACCTAGCGTCCCGAATTCGTACCGACATTTTGTCGTTGCACGGTTTCGGTTTTTGCGGTTTTACGATGGTACACCCCGCCTTCCGTTCTCTTAATTTCCTCGAAATTCTATTCACGATTAAAGTAGGCAGTACATGTTACGAAGTTTTGTCAACTCATAAAGTTGGTATGATGGTCTTTCTGCTCTATGTGTTTTGAGAAATGAACATTTCGAAAAAAATACAAAATTAACCACAAAATAAATATTGGCTCACAGCCGTTGCGCAAAACGTGTCTTAATCACTCCCGCAACCCCCTTTCGGTGACAAGACAAAATTACGAGGTCCTAAAAGGCAGCCTCGGCTCCTAAATTTGCGCATGCGTCACATTTTGTCATATATAGGCAACCAATAATACGACGATAGGAATTATTAACGCATTTTTTTAAAGTTTTATAAACTTTAATAGCTATTTAACAAACAAGTTTGTTAATAAAGGCGATTAATAATCGAGATATTTTAACGCGCGAGGAACGAGCGCGTTAATGGTCGAGATTATTAATCGCCAATTAACAGTCGAGTTAGTTGCAATACTTTTCCGGTGATCGCAATTTTAAAAAAATTACTGAAAATTCAAAATATGAGTTATGCAACCCAACATACAAGTGAAATTTTTTATGAATAAACATGTCCAAATCATGACGAATGCATAAAGTGGATCGAAACATAGAATACTTTGGCCATAAGCGTGCTATTGAGCCTTTTTGGGAAATTTCTGAAAAGGATGCGAGTAATACGAATTCCGAATACCTTACAACCAGCTTTCCGGCGCACCAAGCAACAGAGTCATCGTAGGTTTTTTGGTAAAGCATTTTGCTTCTTTCTGGAAGTAAATTTAGTGACCCCACATTTGCGTTTTCTACTTCCGGAAGAGTTAAAGAATCCATTTCTATGCAAATTCCCGTTTTGAATCTTGATTTGGGAAATTTTTGACATTCAGAATTATGACATTTCACGTAAGGACGTGTATATCTGGTTGCCTAAAATCATGTACTAATAGCCCCTATTAATGAACGATTTTCGTACATAAATCATGCATTAATCGTGTCATTAATAAACGATCACCGGAAAAAAGAATTAATACAATGCAAGACCATCTATTATACACGTATTAATTAGATGCACAAGTGAAATAGTATTCATACACTTTCATTCATTAAAAAAACTTAAACGCTTTTCACAAAATCGATTTGTTTTATTACAATTAATTTATTTTAAAATTTATTTAATTTCTTTCACACTTTACCAATAATAAAATAGTTTGTTTATTAACCCAATAAAGTTCATAATAAAATGAAAAACCAAGGAACACAATTTAAAAATTTTATGGCAGATTTAAAAACATAGGTTTTCTCAATCGTGGACATCAAAAACGTAATTTTATGTAATTATCTTTTATTTTCTTCGTTTATGATTGAATTTCATCACTCACAAACCAAAAGTATTAGTGGAAATTAAAGTAGAACCCTAAGACTATTTTCACCACAAAAATCATCTCTGAGTTTTCACCCTTACAAAAGTTAACATGGGGTCTAAAATTTAACATGGGAATCCCTATGACCACTTTTAAGAAATATACACCGAAATGAAACCTTTGATTCCTACCGCACTTCAAGTAACTTCGAAATTTTCTCTGGCCATGGTTCCCCCAACGATGTTCCCCTTAAGGTTCCCCCTCACCGAGGAGTAGTAAGTAGTAAGTAGCTTAAATGGGAAATGTAGTAAAGTTTGAATTTACCACGTAAATATTTAACGCATGCGCAGATATAGGATAGTCCAGTCAAAATAGACAAAAAAAAATCATAACTTAGCCAAAATTCGCATAGAGCTGAAAATTGGTATAGACGTTAAACAAACCATTACCAATAAAATGTCAAAAATCCCCTTCGATCCTACTTCTGCAAAAAATTTTATCCAAGGTCAAAGGTTAAAAATTCAGGTTTTTCCCATTTTTCTCTGACACCGTAAGTTTTATCGTAAAAATAGGCTAGACAAAAGTTGTAGATCATACAATTCTCTACAAAAATTGTTCCAATACTTTTTTTCGTACAAATCACCATTCGTGAGATATCGCGATTTTAAAAGTTGAAAAATTCATATTCTACATAATATACAGCCTGTATACGTCTCACTTCATTTCAATGCTATGTGAAGAATTTACAGCTGCTGGTATTTCAATAAAACAAGCTGATAATGATGCTAATGTCCTTATAATTGAAACAGCAATAGAACAATTCAAAAGACCAAATACAACTGTCGTCGTTGGTGAAGATGTTGATCTGTTGATATTACTGACTGCACGGACTCCAATTGATAAAATTATTTACTTTTTGAATCCTGGGAAAGCTTAAGTACAATCAACAATATATTCATCACAAAGTTTGACTGTATATCCAAAATGTAAAACTCATATTTTACTTTTGCATGCAATAAATTGTTGCGATACTACATCAGCCATTTTTAAGAGAGGTAAAACAGCAGTTTTTAAATTGTTAGAAAAACGTAATGATTTAATTGATTGCGCAGAAATATTTACAAAGATTGACTCTTCTCCACATGACATCGTCAAAAATGGAATTCGTTTTCTTCTTGTAATGTATCATACATTACATAATGGTGCTCCAAAAAAAATTGATTCCATAGACAAGTATAGATATTTAAGGTTTGTAACATCTGTATGGAACAATAAAACAGTGCAGTTGTTTTGTCTGCCTCCAACATCTGCTTCTGCATTTCAAAACACTTGTATCGTGTGTATTATCAAGTTCAAATGTGGCTAGGCAATGAGCTGGACCCAGAAGAATGAGGTTGGAAATTAAGAGATAATTTTTTGGAACCAATTCAAACCCTACTCCCGCCTGCTCCAAAAAAAAACTGCTTAATACTATTTTTTGAACCTGCAAGACGGATTGTAGTAAGAATTGTGGCTGTCAAAAAGTGGGATTATTTTGTTCGCCAGTATGTATCAATTGTCAGGGTCAGACTTGCTCTAATATTGAATCAAATCCAACAGATGATAATACTTATGATATCAATGAAGAGACAACTGATCCATCTCTTTTCTTAGAACGGCGTACAGAAATTCTGCAAGGAGAAGAAGAAGAAAGTGAAGATGAAGAAATAATTGTTGAAGTAAATAATAAAACTTAGAAGAAATCAACCTGTTCCACTTTGAACATTAGCAATAGTACGATTCTTTCAATGAATAGGATGCGATCTGTATACTGATCAAATTTTTATTTCTTTATCACACTAGATCGTGGAGTATGCCTACTGGGGAAGCCACGTTAAAAAAATGCGCCAAGTACCTTACCTCATAGGTGGTGCGGAAATGTGTGCATATTTTGAAGAAAATGACTTTTTCAACTCTTAAAATCGCAATATCTCATGAATGGTGATTCGTACGAAGAAAAGTATTGAAACAATTTTTGTAGAGAATTGTATGATCTACAATTTTTGTCTGACCTATTTTTACGATAAAACTTACGGTTTCAGAAAAAAATGGGAAAAACCTGAATTTTTGACCTTTGACCTTGGATAAAATTGTTTGCAGAAGTAGGATCGAAGGGGATTTTTGACATTTCATTTGTAATGGTTTATTTAACGTCTATACCAATTTTCAGCTCTATGCGAATTTTGGCTAAGTTAAATACCTATTTTGACTGGACTAGGAGCCGAGGCTGCTTTTTAGGATCTCGTACAAAATTAGGTTGGCACAGTTTCAAAGTTTCAAGTGCCAACGTAGCGCCGACAAAGTCACCAGTGACAACTTGAATTAAAAATCCGTGATTATTCCAACAGATTTCACAAAATTATGCAATGGAAGAGTTATCAGAAATCGTAAAAAACTTAGAATTGGAGAACGAAGAAGACTGCACGGACTACGAATACATCAACGTGTTCAAGGTACGTGGTTGCGAAAAGCGAAAGATGACTTAACCTCACTTTCAGAACCCCAATAAATTGCCAATAAACCAAATTCATTTAGAGAAAACGGACATAGAGCTGCGTAGAGACGCCCCTTGGGTGAGTTTCAAACCGCTCGCGACCCTTTCAGAAACAGCCGTTTTAGGACTCATCCTCGTCAGCGGAAACATGTTTCGAGCGCAAAAAGCACACAATTCCGGCTTTGGTATTACGAAACACAAACACGACAATCCAGTAACTCATTTTTGTAGAGCCGGAGTTGGCTGCCGGAGTCCGTGCGTTTCCACAAGTACGAGCCCTACAACTTCACCATGACCAAAGAAAATACGTCATTCGTCAAAAACAACAAGTTATTTTTACAAAGTTTACACTACCTGTTAAGTTGCAACTACCACCAGTTCTGGTGTTTTGTTTTGTTTGAACCGAAAGTAAGCCTGAGTTTGCATAGTTTTCTCCTAAGTCCTGTTGCGCCTCACTTGATTAAGAATCTGGATGAGGAGCAGGCGTCGGTGTATTTAGCAGTATTTTCGCAGTTTCGCAGGGTCTATCAAAGACTTGTGACGTTCCAGGAGACTGAGGTTTGTCTGTGTCGTTCTAGAGTCACCTAGTGACTTGTTTTTTTAGAGTGAATTTATGGCGGATAGCGTAGGTCTCAAATTTTTACTAGATAAGAAACTACTTAATCTCCCTATAGTTATAACTTTGATTATTTTGTACCACGAGACGAATTTAGAGTTCGTGAATGACTTAGTTGGTTTGTATTTTAACGAAAAGTCGGTGTTTCGTGATAAAGAGATTGAGGAAATGTTGGACCAAGTCGTTTTGACTTTAGAGATGGTTGGAGGCCACGTTTGTGGTTTTGAACCTGATGCTGTGATAGTACCTATAGCTGTGGAAGAAAAACCTCCAGTATTTAATCCTGGGTGGGTTTACTCAGTTGTTGATTATTTATTAAACACAATGTCTGCATTACACATGTTGTTGAAATTTTACAAGTCTGCAATGAGCGTAGCGTTGGCGAAAGGAATCCCCTATAGGTAATTAGTCCACGACTGAAACCACCTATACACCATTCGTTTCAAGGTTATCATTCACATACGAGAAAGTTTTCTACCAGTTGTACGACTACGTCAACGAAAGACCAGAGCTCGAGCGAAACCCGAAACTAGCCGAAATTATTTTCGAAGAAATAGCTTTATCGAGGTCGGAATTTATCGACATTTACAACACTTTCGTGTCGTATTGTCTGGACAAAACGCTGGAATTTAGGTAACTCGTTACCACGACCCAAACAAAACTACAGTTCGTTTTTTAGCGGCGACCCTCTACACCAAGAGGAATTCGTCGAAATTTACTTAAAACTGATGACTTCCGCTCTCGAGGATGAGTATTTTATCTGTGATTACCACGAACGCTACGATGTGGGGTCTCACAACGAGATGTTCAGTAGCTGTACTGAGTTGTATCCTTGAAGTTTGAATTTGGCGCTTAGTTTATGATTGGTCGAAATTTAAAATGACGTCACTTTCATTATTTTTCGACTCAATTTTTTTCCTCAACTTGTACAGAGACCAAACCCGGACTGACTACATCTTAAGTTGCATTACTTGTCTGCGCAGACACAACAGACTATGGAAAACGCTAAAATCGGAACTGGGTACACTCAACAAAGCTATCGAGAAGTACGCACGCTCGAAGAAAGTTAGGACCGACGTCCAGGAAAATGGGTACGAGGAACAACCAGTATCCAACGGCGTGGAAACTCTTTTCGTGCCCCCAAGCGACGACGATATAGAAAATTCGATCAAAATCGTAGTGGACATGTTTCCGCATTTAGGGGACGGTTTCGTGCTGCAGTGTCTCGAAGCGTACAACTACGAACCCAGTGACGTCATCACCGCCATCCTCGAGGAGAACCTCCCCCCTCACTTAGTCGACATTCCATTCGATCAAATCCGCATCCCCCCCGAGCCACAACCCGAGCAACCAATCCTGGCCTACCGTGGCAAGAAGCAACAAGAATTCGACGACGCGCTGAAGCTCCTAAACGACAAGAAAGACATGAAGGAAATAAAGACATTCATTTTGGACGGAATGTAAACCGTAGTCACCACCACAACCACCAACTAATTTTTTTTTTTTTGTTAGACAATACACGAACGCCTACGACGACTACGATGACGAGTTCGACGACCGCCTCGATGACGGCACCGTGCCGGTGCCCGACCACGGCACCGAGGACATCCTCAAGTACAACCCGAACTACGACGACGTGGTGAGCGACACCAGCTACTCCGAGAACGAGTACGACGAGCAGGGGCAGGTGTTGACGGCGCCCGAGGTCAAGCCCCGAGGCAAAGGCAACTTCTGCGAGGACCCGGCGGTGGTGCGCGAGCGGATGGAGGCGCGACGGAGAGTCCAAGGTCGCGGACACCACTCGGGCGCCAAACCCAAAGCGCCCGCTCAAGGACAAAAGGACGTGGTGGGTAAGCCGAAGGGTCAAGGACAAGAGAAGAACGTGCTTCAGAATAGACACAAGAAGGGCGTGCACAAGAGCAGTCGCGCCAACCACAATCGCAAGAGCGGGGCGCAGTGGAAGCGCAACAAAGGCATGCTGCCCTCCTAACCAGGTTTGATTTTATCAACTGAATAAAAATTTGAGTTGTTGGGTTGGTATCATTCCAAGTCATAAAAATATACTTCCTTTAATAAATAATAATAATAATAGAGTACATCGTTTTAAAACCCAGGTTTTAAAATGTATAAAAGAGATTCTAGGACGGTTTTCTCTTCAGTGTTTAAGTTTGAACTAAAGTCGGCAATGTACGTACGCGCGTCGAAAAGCACTGTAGACTTCTCGGGTAACAATCTATCCCAGACTCGCTTCATTTGTGACTGTAAGTGGTCCGAGTTCACGCTGTCTTTGATTAAGGTTAAGTCGTCTTTTGTGAGTAGTGTGATGAGGTGCCCCAAGGTCAAACAAATCTGAAATTTTTGTTATATGCAATTGACACAACGGTTGTTTTAGTCTTACTTGTTCGACTAAATTGTCGCGGTGTTTGTACTCGTTGAAGTCCTCCATGTTTTGTGACGTTTCTAGGGCTTTGATTAGTGACACCCAAATCGGTTGGTAGTACTGTCTGTAGAACTGTCGTTTCGTGGGTGTGGATAAGGCCACAGCCGCGTTGATTCGTACTTTGAAGTTGCGAAAATTGACCACCAAGTCCGTCAAAGCCGTGAACACTTTTTCCTGTTGGAATTAAACCAATTGTCATTCTAGCATGGCTACGTTATGTCATAGTTTAAATTACATGATGGTCGAGGAGTCCTCGACTTATGTTGGCAACAGTGTTTGTTTCTAACTAGGAATAAAATTAACTGCAGTAGAAAAACTGTCATAATATTTTTAACGACGCGTTTTAGGCCACACGAATTACAGTTCGTCGTCTGAGAACTCGTTTGATCTACAAACCACAGCGCACTCACGCCAATTTCGACTCTAAGCGTTCGGAAACGATTTGATTTATAAGCCGTGATCCGTGATCTGATACACATCTTAACCGGTTTTCTATTTGTTCAGGTTTCGATATTTCGACTTCACTTTTTTGATTTTTCGATTTCTCAATTTTTCAATTTTTTAATTTCTCAGTTTTTGGACATTTTAGTTTTGGGATTTTTCAGTTTACTTGTTTTTCAATTTTTTGCAGGTTTTTGATTTTTCAATTTTTCGATTTTTTACGGTTTCGATATTTCGACATCACTTTTTTGATTTTTCGATTTCTCAGTTTTTCTTTCATTTTTCAGTTTTTCGATATTTCAGTTTTGGGATTTTTCAATACTTCTGTTCTTTGACTTTTTCATTTTTTGACTTCTGGATTTTTCGATGTGTCGACTTTTAACTTTTTCGATTTTTAAATTTTAGATTTATTTCTCAATTTTTTGGTATTTTAATTTTTCAAGATTTAAAATTTTTGATTTTTCGATTTCTCGATTTTTCATTTCAGCTCTTCCATATTTTAATTTTTCAAAAGTTTCGATTTCTTAATCTTTCGATTTTTCGACTTCCCGGTTTTAGATTTTCTGATTTTCAATTGTTGTTTTTTCGAATTTTTGATTTTTCAATTTTTCAAATTTAACATTTTTGATTTTTCAATTTTTCAAATTTGACATTTATAGACTGTCAATTATTCGATTTTTCAATTATTCGATGTTTTTATTTTCCCATTTCTTGACTTTCGAGGGTTTCAATATTCCTGTTCTTCAATTCTTTAATTTTTCGATTTTTCATTTTTAGTTTTTTTCAAGTTTCGATTTTTCGATTGCTCAATTTTTCCACTTTTTAGGTTCTCAGTTTTTGGATATTTCAGTTTGCGGATTTTTCAGGTTTTCCATTTTTCTTTCTTTTTTCAGTTTTTGGATATCTCAGTTTTGGGCCTTTTCAATATTTCGATTCTTCGACTTTTCGATTTTTGACTCCTGGATTTTACGATGTGTTAATTATTTTACTTTTTTTAATTTTTAAAATTTTAGATTTTTCGATTTCTCGAGTTTTCATTTCAATTCTTCGATATTTCAATTTTTCAAGTGCTTCGATTTCTTAATTTTTCGATTTTTCAACTTCCAGGTTTTAGATTTTCTGTGTTTCAGTTGTCGTTTTATCAATTCTTCGATTTTCAAATTTCAGATTTTTTAGTTTTTTGATGTTTTAATTTTTCAAATTGAAAATTTTAGATTTTTCGATTTTTCATTTTAGTTCTTCGATATTTCAATTTTTCAAGTTTTCGAATTTTTCAAATGTTTCAAGTTCTTAAATCTTTTGATTTTTCAACTTCCCGGTTTTAGATTTTCTGTTTTTCAATTGTCGTTTTATCAATTCTTCGATTTTCAAATTTTAGATTTTTTGATTTTTCGATTTTTCATTTTAGTTCTTCGATATTTCAATTTTTCAAGTTTTCGAATTTTTCAAATGTTTCGAGTTCTTAAATCTTTTGATTTTTCGATTTTCCGGTTTTAGATTTTCTGTTTTCAATTGTTGTTTTTTCAATTGTTCGATTTTCAAATTTTAGATTTTTCAGTTTTTTGATCTTTTAATTTTTCAACATTGAAAATTTTAGATTTTTTGATTTTTCGATTTTTCATTTTAGTTCTTCGATATTTCAATTTTTCAAGTTTTCGAATTTTTCAAATGTTTCGAGTTCTTAAATCTTTTGATTTTTCGATTTTCCGGTTTTAGATTTTCTGCTTTTCAATTGTTGTTTTTTCAATTGTTCGATTTTCAAATTTTAGATTTTTCAGTTTTTTGATGTTTTAATTTTTCAATATTGAAAATTTTAGATTTTTTGATTTTTCGATTTTTCATTTTAGTTCTTCGATATTTCAATTTTTCAAGTTTTCGAATTTTTCAAATGTTTCGAGTTCTTAAATCTTTTGATTTTTCGATTTTCCGGTTTTAGATTTTCTGTTTTTCAATTGTCGTTTTTTCAAATTTTCGATTTTTCAATTTTTTAAATTTGACATTTATAAACTGTCAATTTTTACAATTAATCGATGTTTTGATTTTCCCATTTTTTGACTTTCGAGGGTTTCGATTTTGCTGTTCTTCAATTCTTTAATTTTTCGATTTTTCATTTTTTAGTTTTTTAAAGGTTTCGATTTTTCGACTTCACTTGTTGGATTTTTCGATTGCTCAATTTTTCGACTTTTTAGGTTCTCAGTTTTTGTATATTTCAGTTTTCGGACTTTTCAGTTTTTCGATAAGTCAGTTTTGTGATTTTTCAATATTTCTATTCTATTTCTATTCGATTTTTAACTCCTGGTTTTATATTTTCTGTTTTTCAATTGTCATTTTGTCAAATTTTCGATTTTTTAATTTTTCAAATTTGACTTTTATAAACTCTGAATTTTTTGGTTTTTCAATGAATCGATGTTTTGATTTTCCCATTTCTTGACCTTCGAGTGTTTCGATTTTCCTGTTCTTCAATTCTTTAATCTTTTAATTTTTAAGTTTTTCGATTTTTTAAGGTTTCGATATTTCGACTTCACAACATTTCAGTTTTGGGATTTTTCAATTTTTCGAGTCGTCAGTTTTTCTTTCATTTTTCAGTTTTTCGATATTTCAGTTTTGGGATTTTTCAATATTTCTGTTCTTGGACTTTTCCATTTTTGATTTCTGGATTTTTCGATGTGTCGACTTTTTACTTTTTCGATTTTTAAATTTTAGATTTCTCAATTTTTTGGTATTTTAATTTTTCAATATTTAAAATTTTTGATTTTTCGATTTCTCGATTTTTCATTTCAGCTCTTCCATATTTCAATTTTTCAAATGGTTCGATTTCTTAATCTTTCGATTTTTCGACTTTCCTGTTTTAGATTTTCTGTTTTTCAATTGTCGTTTTTTCAAATTTTCGATTTTTAAATTTTAGATTTTTCAGTTTTTTGATATTTTAATTTTTCAATATTTAAAATTTTCGATTTTTCGATTTCTGGATTTTTCATTTCACTTCTTCGATGTTTCCGCTTTTCAAGTTTTCGAAGTTTTCAAACGTTTTGATTTCTTAATCAATCGCTTTTTCAAATTTTCGATTTTTCAATTTTTCAAATTTGACATTTATAAACTGTCAATTTTTCGATTTTTCAATTAATCGATGTTTCGATTTTCCCATTTCTTGACTTTCGAGGGTTTCGATATTCCTGTTCTTCAATTCTTTTTTTCGATTTTTCATTTTTTAGTTTTTTTAAGGTTTCGATTTTTCGACTTCACTTTTTGGATTTTTCGATTACTCAATTTTTCAACTTTTTAGGTTCTCAGTTTTTGGATATTTCAGTTTTCGGATTTTTCAGGTTTTCCATTTTTCAGTTTTTCTTTCATTTTTGAGTTTTTGGATATCTCAGTTTTGGGATTTTTCAATATTTGGATTCTTCGACTTTTCGATTTTTGACTCCTGGATTTTTCGATGTGTTAATTATTTTACTTTTTCGATTTTTAGATTGAAGATTTTTTAATTTTTAAAATTTAAAATTTTTTGATTTCTCGATTTTTCAGTTCAGTTCTTCGATATTTCAATTTTTCAAATGTTTCGATTTCTTAATCTTTCGATTTTTCGACTTTCCTGTTTTAGATTTTCTGTTTTTCAATTGTCGTTTTTTCAAATTTTCGATTTTTAAATTTTAGATTTTTCAGTTTTTTGATATTTTAATTTTTCAATATTTAAAATTTTCGATTTTTCGATTTCTGGATTTTTCATTTCACTTCTTCGATGTTTCCGCTTTTCAAGTTTTCGAAGTTTTCAAACGTTTTGATTTCTTAATCAATCGCTTTTTCAAATTTTCGATTTTTCAATTTTTCAAATTTGACATTTATAAACTGTCAATTTTTCGATTTTTCAATTAATCGATGTTTCGATTTTCCCATTTCTTGACTTTCGAGGGTTTCGATATTCCTGTTCTTCAATTCTTTTTTTCGATTTTTCATTTTTTAGTTTTTTTAAGGTTTCGATTTTTCGACTTCACTTTTTGGATTTTTCGATTACTCAATTTTTCAACTTTTTAGGTTCTCAGTTTTTGGATATTTCAGTTTTCGGATTTTTCAGGTTTTCCATTTTTCAGTTTTTCTTTCATTTTTGAGTTTTTGGATATCTCAGTTTTGGGATTTTTCAATATTTGGATTCTTCGACTTTTCGATTTTTGACTCCTGGATTTTTCGATGTGTTAATTATTTTACTTTTTCGATTTTTAGATTGAAGATTTTTTAATTTTTAAAATTTAAAATTTTTTGATTTCTCGATTTTTCAGTTCAGTTCTTCGATATTTCAATTTTTCAAATGTTTCGATTTCTTAATCTTTTCTTTTTTCGACTTCCCGGTTTTAGATTTTCTGTTTTTCAATTGTCATTTTGTCAAATTTTCGATTTTTCAATTAATCGACGTTTTGATTTTCCAATTTCTTGACCTTCGAGTGTTTCGATTTTCCTGTTCTTCAGTTCTTTAATTTTTTGATTTTTCAACTTTTCGATTTTTTAAGGTTTCTATTTTTCGACTTCACTTTTTGATTTTTCGATTTTTCAGTTTTTAGATATTTCAGTTTTAGGTATTTTCAATATTTCAATTCTTCGGCTTTTCTATTGTTGATTTCTGGATTTTTCGATGTGTCTACCTTTTTACTTTTTCGATTTTTCATTTTTTGGATTTTTAAATTTTAGATTTGTCAATCTTTTTATATTTTAATTTTTCAATTTTTCGATTTGTTAATTTTTCATTCCCGATTTATCGAGATTTGATTGTTCAGGTTTTCGATGTATCAGTTTTTCAATTTTTTATTTTGGCCTATTTCGGTTTCTCACTTTTTCCAGTTTTCCATTTTTTCGTTTTTTCATTTTTCCGCTTTTCCAATTTTTGAACTTTTAACTTTTTGTTTGTCGATTTCTCTATTTTTCGACTTCATCACTTTTCGATTTCTCGTTCTTCTGATCTTTCAACCTCTCAATTTTTCGAATTTTTAAGTTTTTTGATTTCTCGATTTATCGAGATTTGGATTTTTCGATATTTTGATTGTTAATTTCTCAATTGTTCGACTTTTCGTTATTCGGTTTTTAAATTTTAGATTTTTCAATTTTACATTTTTTCAATTTTCTGATGTTTCGGTTTTACGATTTTTCCAGTATTAGATTTCTCGATTTTTCGATTATTTGCTTCTGAACGCTTAGAGTCTCTAATATCAATAATAGTGGTTTTGCAAAATCAGCCTGTATGTCGCATCTATATTAATCTATGTACTACTTACTTGCCAATTCCCGGCCATTTTGAAAATCGACGCATTCTTCATAGTGTTACCAATCGCATAACACGAATTCCACCGCACCTTCATATTTGACCCCGACGTGCAATTTTTGACCAAAACCCCAATCCCGTCCTCCGCCGCCTCTCTAAACCCCCCGTCTTCCACCAAATCATCCCCAATCAGCTGCAACAAATTCCCCAGCGCCCTCACCGCATTCATTTTAATTTTATCGTTATCATTAGACGCCCTAATCGTCGCTTGTAACAACTTCAAAATCAAACCATCCGGAAACTCCTCCATCAAACCACAACACCTACAACACCGTTACTCCAAAACTCAAACATAACCTCAAACTTGCCTATTCAAGACTAGCGCGTCGCTCAAATTCCCCAAAGCCCACGAACACTTCACCCTCACCGTGAAATTCTCATCCTGCAACACCCTGTATATCGTTTCGGCCGTGTCCACCACGAACCCCGCGTCCTCCCTCAAACTCGGGTAGAGCACGCAGATCGCCAACGCCCTCACAGCCGCCCCTCTCACACTATTCTCGTCGTCGCGACTACAAGCGAACAGCAACGTCACGCAAAGAATCTGCCTGTCACGTGACAACTGCTCGAAGGCTTCGGGTCCGACGCTACCGAGACAATCGCACCCGATGGCCCTCAAAATCGAGTGTTGCTCATTCTGTAAAAGCTTGGTCAACGAACTTGTGAGTAGAGTCTGCCAGAACGACAAGCACAAACTTGAAGAAAAAGTTTGCTTGCTCTCCTGGAGAAAGCAGCGGCTCATGGCCTGCCCGATAAAATCGACGGCGCGTCCGGCGTGCAGTTGCACGTCAACGTATTTGCTTGTCAACGATACGTCCAAAGCTTTAGTGACTTGAGTCATAGATGGCGCTAATAAAGAATCAAAGTAGTTGCGACTGATCACCGAAATGATTTGAAGCGACTCGAGTTTGACGGGTGTGGGGACTGTATTGTCACAGTCCAAGTTATAAAAGCAACGTTCTAACAACCAGGGGACGTTTGGGTCTTGGGGTTGTTGCTCTTCGTCCGACGAAAACTCGGCGAAGTCGAAACTGTCGTCCGAGTTCGAGTTGGCGCCTTTTTGTTCTTTCGTTTCGTTAGTTTTCTTAGTGAAGGCGTCTTTGGTTTCTGGAATGAGGGGCTCGGAGGCTAGGACGCACCCCAGGACGATGAGTGCAGTCACTTGGACCGTGGAATCTTTATGGTAGATGAAAGGTTTGACGTTTCTTATGACCCTGGTTATGAGACCGGGCCCCAAACGGTGGTAGGGGGTGGCCTGCACTAAAGCCGCGAAACACTTGAGGACTAGTGTGAGAACGGGAACCGAGAGGGCGCTCAGCGATAAACTCAGACACTTGTGGAGTTCTTTGATTGTCAATCCGACTATTACCGAAAATGGCGTAAAAGCTAAATTGTCTCTGAAACATAAAAATAGTTAAGGGGAATGTCGTGCGACTGACGGTAAGTACCCTTTCTCTGCTTGTGCCAGATAGAGTTTGCACGACGATAATAAAATCAAGAGGGCGTTTAAAGCCGCCATGCGACCTCTGTTGGACGTTTCTTTAAGCGTGCACGTGAGCAGGTGGTGCTTGCTGGTGAGGGGGTTCTCCGGGACGAAGCTGGACCAAAACGAAAAAATCGTGGTCTTTTCGGTTAACTGAAAATATTGCCAATTCTGAATCAAACATGTTAAAATTTAAAGGTTGTTAAAAAATAAACAGCCAATCAGATTTACGAATTTAACTCGTTACTATGGAAATTTGCAATTTAACACCCTTTAAATTTAACAGGTTTGATTCAGAATTGCCCCTATTAGGGCCAGTACCTGTTAAGATAAGAGTGATTAGCAAATGAGAAACCCTCTAAGAAAAGGGAGGGTGGGTGGGTGGGCGGGGCTAGTACCTGATAAGATAAGAGTGATTGGCAAATTAGAAACCCTCTAAGAAAAGAGAGGGTGGGTGGGCGGGGCTAGTACCTGATTAGGTAAAACTGATTTTGGCAGATGAGATCCCTCAAAGGAAAGAGAGGGTGGGTGGGCGGGCTTAATAGCTACTCAGATAAAACTGATTTTAGTAGGTACTAGTCCCACTCGACCACTATTTTATTAGAGGGTATGTAATCTTAAAAGTCTTATCGTAGCTAGTGGCTGCTCAGATAAAATTGACTTTGGCAAATGAAATACTTTCTAAGAATAGAGAGGGTGAGTGGGCGGGGCGGGCCTGGTATCTGCCAAGGTAAGAATTTAAAAAATTTCTGGTTTTCTTAGTGTCTTTTCTTAATTTAAAAGAATCTTGGTGGTCTCTAGTTTTAATGTTGAAAAATTTGAAAGAATCTTAGGTAATATTTTTTTAAGAATATCGGGACTGGAGTCTTGGTGTTTTACTTTTAGATAATTTGAAAGAATCTCGACGATCGCTGGTGTTTTGTTTTTAAAAGAATTTTAAAAAATCTCGGGAACACTTGTTTCTTATTTAAAAAAAAATTGAAAGAATCTTGGGAGTCTCTGGTGTTTTATTGTAGAATAATTCTGAGATTCTTCGATATTTTATTTAAAAAAAAGCTGAAGAATTTTACAGCTTCCCATTTGCCAAAATCACTCTTATCTTAGCAGGTACTAGCCCCGCCCACCCACCCTCTCTTTTCTTAGAGGGTTTCTAATTTGCCAATCACTCTTATCTTATCAGGTACTAGCCCCGCCCAAAATTCCTAAATCTACCCGAAATGTGATGAGTTTTTACTTGTGATTTGTCATGATATTCATATTTTTCAAATTCGCTTAAACAGGGTGACTCAAAAAAAATTAATGAATGCGTGAATTTATTTTGATTTAATCAGGAACCGCCAAACCGAATCCTTTGAAATCTTGGAAATGTTTTAAAGTTTTCATGTATGGCAGATTTTTGATGAAAATGTATTTGCTCTCCCCCTCTAAAAAATGATGACGTCGTTTCAAAATATTGCTGAATATATCCATCATATCTTAAATGTTCAAAATATGATGAGTCTGTACTTGTGATTTATTTTTAATATGTATATAATTAATATTTTTTAAATTAGCTTGTACAGAGTGTCTCAGAAAAATTAATGACTGTGTTGTTAAAAATAAATATCTAATCAGATTTAGGAATTAAACTTGTTCCTTAGAAATTGCGATTTAACATCTTTTAAATTTAACAAGTTTTTACAATAGGCACAAAATCTGTCTTATCTTCGCCAGTGCTAGCCCCGCCCACCCGCCCTCTGTTTTCTCAGGAGGTATAACATTTGCCAAAATCAGTCTTATTTTAGCAAGTGCTAGCCCCGCCCACCCACCCTCGGTTTTGTCAAAGGGTATGGCGTCTGCCAAAATCAGTCTTATCTGAGCTAATACTAGCCCCACCCACCCGCCCCTATTTGCTCAGACGATATGTTATTTGCCAAAATAAGACTTATCTTAGCAAATACTTCTGAAAAAATAAAGGGCGAGTGGGCGGGGCTAGTACTTGCTACCATAAGGCTTATTTTGGCAGAGAACATATCCTATGAAAAAATAGGGGGCGGGTGGGCGGGGCTAGTATCTGGTAAGATAAGACTGATTTTGGCAAATCATATACCCTTTAAGAAAGTAAAGGGTGGGTGGGCGGGGCTAATACTTGCTAAGACTTATTTCGGCAAATGATATATCCTCTGAGAAAATAGGGGGCGGGTGGGCGGGCCTAGTACTTGTTAAGATAGAACGGATCTTGCCTCGATTAATCTTGTAAAAACTTGTGAAATTTAAAGGTGTTAAATTGCAAACTTCCATAGTAACGAATTAAATTCCTAGATCTACCCGAAATGTGCAAAATGCGATGAGTTTTTACTTGTGATTTATTTTTAATATATAATTAATATTTTTTAAATTTGCTTATACAGTGTCTCAGAAAAATTGTTGATTGTGTTGTTAAAAAATAAATATCCAATCAGATTTAGGGATTTAACTCGTTACTATAGAAATTTCAATTTAACACCTTTTAAATTTAACAAGTTTGTACAAGATTCGTAGGACAAAATCAATTTTATCTTAACAAATACTAGGCCCGCCCACCCGCCCCCTATTTTCTCAGAATATATGACTCGTTACTATGGAAATTTGCAATTTAACACCCTTTAAATTTAACAGGTTTGATTCAGAATTGCCCCTATTAGGGCCAGTACCTGTTAAGATAAGAGTGATTAGCAAATGAGAAACCCTCTAAGAAAAGGGAGGGTGGGTGGGTGGGCGGGGCTAGTACCTGATAAGATAAGAGTGATTGGCAAATTAGAAACCCTCTAAGAAAAGAGAGGGTGGGTGGGCGGGGCTAGTACCTGATTAGGTAAAACTGATTTTGGCAGATGAGATCCCTCAAAGGAAAGACAGGGTGGGTGGGCGGGCTTAATAGCTACTCAGATAAAACTGATTTTAGTAGGTACTAGTCCCACTCGACCACTATTTTATTAGAGGGTATGTAATCGTAAAAGTCTTATCGTAGCTAGTGGCTGCTCAGATAAAATTGACTTTGGCAAATGAAATACTTTCTAAGAATAGAGAGGGTGAGTAGGCGGGGCGGGCCTGGTATCTGCCAAGGTAAGAATTTAAAAAATTTGTGGTTTTCTTAGTGTCTTTTCTTAATTTAAAAGAATCTTGGTGGTCTCTAGTTTTAAGGTTGAAAAATTTGATAAGATATTTTTTTAAGAATATCGGGATTGGTGTTTTACTTTTAGATAATTTGAAAGAATCTCGACGATCGCTGGTGTTTTGTTTTTAAAAGAATTTTAAAAAATCTCGGGAACACTTGTTTCTTATTTAAAAAAAAATTGAAAGAATCTTGGGAGTCTCTGGTGTTTTATTGTAGAATAATTCTGAGATTCTTCGATATTTTATTTAAAAAAAAGCTGAAGAATTTTACAGCTTCCCATTTGCCAAAATCACTCTTATCTTAGCAGGTACTAGCCCCGCCCACCCACCCTCTCTTTTCTTAGAGGGTTTCTAATTTGCCAATCACTCTTATCTTATCAGGTACTAGCTCCGCCCACCCACCCACCCTCCCTTTTCTTAGAGGGTTTCTCATTTGCTAATCACTCTTATCTTAACAGGTACTGGCCCCGCCCACCCACCTCCTCTTTCCTTAGACGGATCTCATCTGCCAAAATCAGTTTTACCTTATCAGGTACTAGCCCCGCCCACCCACCCTCTCTTTTCTTAGAGGGTTTCTACTTTGCCAATCACTCTTATCTTATCAGGTACTAGCCCCGCCCAGCCACCCACCCACCCTCCCTTTTTGTAGAGGGTTTCTCATTTGCCAAAATCACTCTTAGCTTCGCATATATTAGCCCCGCCCAACTTCTCTTTTCTTATAGAATATGTCATTTGCCAAAATCGATCTTACATCAGCAGGTACTAACCCCGCCCACCCGCCCTCTATTTTCTTAGAGGGATCTGATTTGTCACATCAGTCTTATCCTAACAGTTGCAAAAAAGGAGAGGGTGGGTGGGCTGGTACCTGCTAAGATAAGAGTGATTTTGGCAAATGAAATAGCTTCTAAGAAAAGTGAGGGTGGGTGGGCGGGCCTAGTATCTGCCAATGTTAGACTGATTTTGGCAGATGAGATCCCCCTAAAGAAAGAGGGGGTGGGTGGGCGGGCCTAGTAACTGCTAAAATAAGAGTGATTTTGGCAAATGAAATAGTCTCTAAAAAAGAGAGGGTGGGTGGGCGGGGCTAGTCGCTGCTCAAACAAAACTGATTTTAGGAGGTACTAGCCCCACCTGACCACTATTTTCTTAGTGGTTCGAATATGAAAATAATTATTTGGCGATTGAAATTTTCAGGACAACAATAAAATCAATACATCAATAAATAAATAAAAATTTTCATCCAAAAATTTCGTCCGATGCAACGAAATACCAAGAGAACAAACTGATTTATTTTTTCAAAAAATATTTTATTGATTAAATCAAACATGGCTTACCTTATTTTTCCGAAATTTTGAGAATTCAAAACAAATTGATATAATGTGTCCTTGCTAAAAAATGTTGATAATAAATTAGGTTTTTTTGACTGTAATTCAGAGGCCAGGGAAGTTCTATCTAAACAATTTTATCTGATAGTTTTCAGGCTCGAAGGATTGCAACTTTTGACAGATTTTGGATTTACATTCTTTGATTAAAAAAATCATACTAAATTCGCAAAACCAACCTTTTTCATATTATAACAGATTTTGAATTTCGTTAATCTCTTGAGAAGAAAGTTAAGATCTTCAAAAACAGCAATTCACAAAAAAATTCTTCGTTTTTAACTGTTTATTTCAACTCAGATAAAATCATTTGCGTTAATGTCAATGAAAAAGTTCTCTGAGTGTCTTTCAATTCATTTTCAACATATTTCTTCTTAAAGAAAAAGGGAGAACTACGTCACTGCCATGAGAAAAAAGTCAAAATTTTTTGTTAATATCCTGATTGTATTCCTCGAATTTTTATACCGAGATGTTTTGACTAAACTGTAAAAAGTGCTGTTTCAATGAGCGATTTTGGAAAAAAAAAACAAAGAATTTCAGAAGAAGCCAAGCTGAAAATGACTTCTGGATATCGAAATCTACAAAAAAATGTCTTTAACTCATTTTTGGAAGTAGTTGAAAAATAGTCGAAAATGTTAAGTGCGAAAATCAGTCTTATCTTATCAAATACTGGCCCCGCCCACTTACCCTCTGTTTTCTGAGAGTATATCATTTGCCAAAATCAGTCTTACCTTAGCAATTTACTAGGCCCGCCCACCCGCCCTTTATTTTCTTGGAAGGTATGTGATTTGCCAAAATCAGTCTTATCTTATCAAATACTAAAGGGTGACGTTTGAATACCGACTGCGGCACTCTATACACTTCCAATCAAACTTAACTGTCAAGTCGAAAGTGTCAAATTTAGTCAACATAACCTCAAATTTTCAAAAAATGCTAATTTTACCTTGACGGTATGCAAAAACAGCGCTAAAGCGGCTTGCCGCAGGCGCCCACTCATCACAGCTAGTTTAGCCGCGGTGCCCCCTTCAGTGTCAGAGAAATCCGATTCGCTGGTTCGCACCCCGTTACCAAAACTACTGTAACCGTCCTCCGTAGTGGTGTTCACACTCGTGGCGGGAGTGTACCCCCCGCCGTCGTCGCCCCACTTTTCCGACTTCTTGACTTTCATTACGGCGGCTTGAGTTTTAGGTTTTCTGTGTTTAGTCATCTTGCCCCCTTTCTCTCTAGGGACTGTACTGACTTCGGGGATACTCAGCGGCGACGGCATTAGCTTCTGGGGTTTCATAAATTCAACACCCGCAATTCCGAGGAGCATATATGACTTAATCACCCCCAGAATGAGCCCCAATTTGCTTGAGAGCAAGTCAGGTTGCTGCCTAATAATATTCTGCAAGCCACGAATACACACTATATATAGTTTAATATTGGTAACTCTGTTTGTGACTATATTATTCATCAGGTGCCCCAAAAACACGTCAAAGCATGTCTGAAACTCAAGCGACGAAGTTTTGACGGGTTTGGCATCCTCCACCGGAATCGTACAAGCCTCCAGACATTGTAGAGCACAAAAAGCCACCTCTGGACTCTTCTCGTTTCTGGCGAAACTCATCAAATGGGTGTTTTTGATCACCTCACCAATCAACTACAAGTCAAATTTTAAACGTGCTAACACAGCTTGTGGCTTACCCCATGTCCCGTGAAGCCCCGCAACAACGCATCCAAAGCCGCTAAAACCTCGACATCGGTGCTCTGCCCCCGCAGCGCCTGCAGACACCACAAAACCGCCATCGTGAGCGTGCGACCGTCCACCACCACCTTCTGTCGGGTCACCAGATTCGTAATCAAGTGGCAGCATTTCAGAACGAGCTCTAGGTCTTCAGGGGTGATTAAAGCGCAACACTGATTCACCAAAAGTACGGCTTTCTACAAAAAGGGGTGACACAAAAGTGAGGTTATATCACTTAAACTTACTGTGCGGTTCGTCACCACGGTGTACTTGTAACTGAGGGCGTTTAGCTCGTTTAGGGTTGAAATGATGACGTCGCGGTCGTTTTTGGTGCGAGCTAAAACCAACTGGGAGATTTTTGTTGACAGGGTGTTGAAAGTGTCAAGCGACGCCATGCTTGAATTGACAGATGTCAATGCGGGTGTGCGGCGTGGACGAAACTGAGGTTAGACGCCGACTTTAAAATAACACAGAAGTTCTCAAACTTGTAAAATTGCCGCGTGATGCACCAGCCCCGTAGCTACGGGGGGGCAAGAGGGGGCTGAGCCCCCCCTAGCAGTTGTGGTTGCCCCCCCTGGAAGACTTATACATTATAAATTTCAAATTAGTAATAAAATTTCAATATAATGCCGATTGCCGAAGCATATTAACTGGCCCCACCCGCCCCACCTTTATTTTCTTACAGGGTATATTATTTGGCAATATCACCCTATAAAAAAATGAACATGTCACATTTTATTCCATAGCCTACTATGTACTTGAGAAAAGTCAAAAATATTATATGGATTTTCTAAAAATTGAGCTTTTATTGAAATGGACAAAAAATAGACAAAAAATTGTGAGATGTAGATCTCGATGAGCATAATCAAAAAACATAAGGTCTTGATGGTCTCAGACCAAGATTTTTCAAAAATTCGGTTCCAAAGTCGACATTTCAAAATTTCTCAAAAATTACATTTCTTTTGGCGGCTCTGGAAAAATTGTACGAATTTTCGAAAAAATAAAACCAAAAAAAAAACATTTGGAGATCGAAATCAATAAAAAGATCCCTTCTGCTAGTTTTCGAAAATGCGTGGGAGAAGTCAAATTTTTTCTATAAATTTTCAAAAATTGAGCTTTTGTTGAAATTGGCTAAAAATCTACAAAAAATTCTGAGATGTAGATCTCGACGAGTTTAGTCAAAAAACATAAGGTCTTGCTGCTATTCGGTTTCCAAGTCGACTTTTTAAAATTTCTCAAAAATTATATTCCTGTTTCTTTTGACGATTCTAGAAAAATTTTACAAATTTTCGATCAAATAAAACCAAAAACAACATCTGAAGATTGAAATAAATAAAAGAATGACATTTGGTAATTTTTGGAAATGCTTAAGAAAAGTCAAAATTTATTTACCTAGTTTTCAAAAATTGAGCTTTTGTTAGAGTTGACAAAAAATTCTGAAATATAGATCTCGATGAGCTTAATCGAAAAACATGTTCATGCTCCCGGAGCAAAATTTACGAAATATTGGGTTTCTACCTAAAATTTCTAAAAAATCTCAAAAGTGACTTAAAAAAAAGTTATTTCTTTATGCGATTGTGGAAAAATTCCACGAAATATCAAAAAAATAAAACCAAAAATAACATCTGTAGATCGAAATCAATAAAGCGATCCCTTTTGCTAATTTTCGAAGATGCTTGGGAAAAGCCAAAAAATGTATATGGATTTTCAAAAATTGAGCTTTTGTTGAAATTAACAAAAAATCAACAAAAAATTCCGATATGTAGATCTCGATGAGCTTAATCCAAAAACATAAGGTCTTGATGGTCCCAGACCAAGATTTTCGAAAAATTCGGTTTCAAAGTCGACATTTCAAAATTTCTCAAAAATTACATTTCTTTTGGAGGCTTTGGAAAAATTGTACAAATTTTCGAGAAAATAAAACCAAAAACAACATTTGGAGATCGAAATCGATAAAGAGATCCCTTTTGCTAATTTTCGAAAACGGTTGGGAAAAGTCAAAAACATTTTATGGATTTTCAAAAATTTAGCTTTTGTTGAAGTTGACTAAAAATCCACAAAAAAATCTGAAATGTTGATCTCGACGAGCTCAATAAAAAACCACAAGGTCTAGATGGTCCCAGATCAAGATTTTCGAAACATTCGGTTTCAAAGTTCAAAAATTACATTTCGTCTGGCGATTGCTGAAAAATTTTACGACTTTTCAACCAAATAAAACCAAAAACAACATCTGGAGATCGAAATCAATAAAGGAATCCCTTTCGGTAATTTTTGAAAATGCCTGGGAAAAGTCAAAAAATTTATATGGGTTTTCAAAAATTGAACTTTCGTAAAAGTTGACAAAAAATTCTGAAATATAGATTTGGACGAACTTAAAAAAACATGACAGGTTCATGGTTCCGGATCAAAATTTTCGAAATACTCGGTTTCGAGCTCGAATTTTCAAAATTTCTCAAAAATTACCATATTTCTTTTGGCGATTGTGGAAAAATTGTACGAATTTTCGAAAAAACAACCAAAAACAACATCTGGAGATCGAAATCAATAAAGGAATCCCTTTTGGTAAACTCGAACGTGCTTGAAAAAAGTCAAAAATTTGATACAGGTTCTCAAAAATTGCCATATTTCTTCCGTCGATTCTGGAAAAATTGTAAGAATTTTCAAAAAAATTGAATTCAAAACGATTTTTGGAAATCGAGATGAACAAAGGAGTCTCTTTTGATAATTTTTGAAAATGCTTGGGAAAAGTCAAAAATTTTATATGGGTTTTCAAAAATTGAACTTTCGTAAAAGTTGACAAAAAATTCTGAAATATAGATTTCGACGAGCTTAAAAAAACATGACAGGTTCAAGGTTCCGGATCAAAATTTTCGAAATACTCGGTTTCAAGCTGGAATTTTCAAAATTTCTCAAAAATTACCATATTTCTCTTGGCGATTATGGAAAAATTGTACGAATTTTTGAAAAAACAACCAAAAACAACATCTGGAGATCGAAATCAATAAAGAAATCCCTTTTAGTAATTTCGAACGTGCTTGAAAAAAGTCAAAAATTTGATACAGGTTCTCAAAAATTGCCATATTTCTTCCGTCGATTCTGCAAAAAATGTAAGAATTTTCAAAAAAATTGAATCCAAAACGATTTTTGGAAGAAATCGAGATGAACAAAGGAATTCTTTTGGTAATTTTCGAAAATGCTTGGGAAAAGTCAAAAATTTTATATGGGTTTCCAAAAATTGAGCTTTTGTTAAAGTTGACAAATAATTCTGAAATACACATCTCGACGAGTTTAAAAAAAAAAGACGAGTTCATGGTTCCGTAACAAAAGTTTCGAAATATTTGGTTTCGAAGTCGGATTTTTAAAATATGTACTAAACATGCAAAAAAATAAACTCAAACAAACTGGATGTTACCTATATGGCCACTACACAAATTTTTGGATGCAGTACAGCTGTTTGTGAATCTACATTCTCTGTTTTAACCAGCATTTTAACCAAGTACCGTACTAATTTTTTGGACTTCGACAGGTTTTTACGAAAATTTAGCGTAAAAAATCGACGTTTCCGATTATTTTAATGTTCTTTCGAATATAAAAACTCAGAAAAAATAAAGTAGTTATCTGAGTGTATTATTAAAATATAAATATTTACGTGAAGCACCCTCTGTCGACAAACTTGCCCCCCCCCGAATAAGTTTTCTAGCTACGGGGCTGTGATGCACGTTATATAAAACCAGTCCTTAACCTTGACGGAGTGAATTTTGTCTTGCGCTTGAATTATATTGTTGAAAAAAAATTAGCAATTAATGCAGTTTGTCAGTTTGTGTCATTTGTGTGACTTGTGATTACATCTGCATTTTGAGTACTTCTGACTGTCATGACTGATCTATCTAGGGACTTCTTGTTTATCAAAAGTAACCAAATTTGACGCATTTAAGTTGGTTGACCAGATCCGGCGCTGTCAGGGCGGCAACCATGAAGTCCCGAAACTTGAAAAAAAGTATTCACGGGGGCTTTGTTTGTGATTGCGGTTGTCTTCACTGGACTCTCGTGCGTCCTCGAGACGCCTCTGATTCTTCAGTTGTTTGCCGCGATGTCCTCCAGTCGCAGACTTTCTCTAGGGTTACCAATCTCGGTTGGTGCTCCTGTTAACAGCTGTTCCTCTCTTCTGACATCCCAACAGCTGTTCGGGCCACGCCTGCGCACATCACTCCTCCACAGCCCCAAACTCCGTCCAATCAGTCGCTGCTAGAGTTCCGGCGGTTGCGAATCGGGATCCTCGTTCCCTTGATGATCCAGGGACGGAGCGCTGAAATTGATCACCCGACGCGCATTCCTCTCGTGTCTCGATGCCGAATTATGTAATTGAATGGGGGCCGTTATGTAAGGACGAGCGGTGAGCGCGCGCGGCAGGTGTTGGTGAGCAGTGCGAAGTGTTCCGAAATATGTTTATTTGAGCGGAGTGAGGTGCAAGCTGCAAAATGGCGGACTTAGAGGCAGTGCTGGCCGATGTCAGCTATCTCATGGCCATGGAGAAGAGCAAGTGCACGCCAGCTGCGAGGGCCAGCAAGAAGATTGTGCTGCCCGACCCCAGGTGAGTCACCAAGGTCGTTCACCCTGGGGCGGCGAGCCGGCGAGCGGCCGGGGGCTGCCGGGCCACCGGAAGGGGGTTGCAGCCGGCTTCTACATTATCCGACAAAGCGGAATTTATTAAGGAATTAAAAACTAAACTAATTAACGAAAAGGGTTTACCCAGTGTGGTCTGGGTTTTGGTTGCACTGACAGCTGAAGATTTACCCAATAAGAGACCTTTGCTCTTATTTTTTTCATTTTCGACATGTGAAAGTCGTTAGATTTACCATCACTTGCGTTATCTGGTAAAGTTCAAATAAGTTTCGGCAAATAGCGAAATTACCCAAATTATAGGTTTTATCTAAATATCATTACGAAATAAATTTGCCACGATTTATACACTGTTTGCCCCCCGATTATTTCGCCAGTACCTAGCAGTAAAACGAAATTTTTATCAATACGAGCGATTTCGTGCTAAGTAGGTTGATCTAAGTGAGTGTTTATTATAACGAAAGTGAGGCTTTCTATCGTGGGTTTGTTGTGACGACAATTTGTAAAAAACCCGCAAGTACTTTTTACAAGTGAATCCAGCCCGCTTTCTCAATAACCCTGAGTCGGACCGGCCTGAAACCACGTCTCAAACTTATATTTTGAACTCGAGCATGCCAGCAGTTTCGTTGACATTCTGTGTGGTTTTTCGACGAAGATGATTTCATTGTTTAAATTTCAAACAATGTTTCATAAAATTGTAAACACGGTCGTTGTAAATTAGTACGCGTTGTCCTTAAAAATATGGTTTACGACGTTGTGCTGACCTAGCCCACCCAAACTGCGACGAAATCGGGTCTAGACAATCGTGTAATAATTGACCTGACTTCATTATAGGACCGAAATCTACACATCTGAACTCTAATTTTTTAAATAAATGATCGTCTCGTATGCTCCATTCATTTGTAATTTTTTTTTTCATTTCGTTGTTTAAATTTTCAACTTTTTGTGTAAAACATGCTCTACTAGGTTGTGCTGACCGTTTGAACATTAAATCATAACCAAACTCTGAGAAACTTCTTTCCAAAATGACTTTTTTAAATCAGGTCATAATTAGTAGTTTCGTTTGCTCAGAATATTTGTAATTTTGGAAATTTCTGACTTCATTGTCTTTTGTCCCCTCAAAATTTTATCTATTTTTTGCTTCTCGAGCGTAAACGACTCTCTACTTTTACTTACGTTTTCTCGATCTTTCATGACCCCTAGAGTATGAAGAAATAGGTCTCCCGTTTCCGTTTGTCCGTCTGTCTGCCGTCCTGATTTTATTAGACAGATAATCTCCGAAAGTACTGGGCCGATTGTTGTCAAATTTTGTATTTCTATTAGGAATATCATGTATTCATGTAGATGGTATAAAATTTGTCCAATCATCGCCACCAATAATGTGATGATGTCACTTCAAAATTGTACATAGTAAAGAATAAAAATCAGTCTTATCTTAGCAAGTACTAGGCCCCCCCACCCACCCCTTATTTTCTCATAAGATATGTCATCTGCCAAAATAAGACTTATCTTGGCAAGTACTAGCAGGTATAACACTCTGAAAAAAAAAGGACGAGTGAGGGGGCTAGTACTTACTAACATAAGTCTTATTTTGGCAGATGACATATTTTATGAAAAAATCGGGGGCGGGTGGGCGGGGCTAGTACCTGGTAAGATAAAACTGATTTTGGCAAAAGACATGTTCTCTGAGAAAATAAGGGGCGGGTGGGCGGGCCTAGTACTTGTTAAGTTAAAACTGAATTTGAACGAGTTAAATTCCTAAATTTAGCCGAAATGTGATGAGTTTTTACTTGCGATTTGTCATCGTATTCATATTTTTCAAATTTGCTTAAACAGGGTGACTCAAAAAAAATTAATGAATGCGTGAATTTATTTGGATTTAATCAGGAACCGCCAAACCGAATTCTTTGAAATCGTAGAGATATGTTTTAAAGTTTTCATAAGCATGGCAAATTTTTGATTAAAATCTATTTGCTCATCCCCCTAAAAAATTGATGACGTCATTTCAAAATATTGCTGAATCCATCCTATCTTAAATGTTCAAAATATGATGAGTCTATACTTGTGATTTATTTTTAATATATAATTAATATTTTTTAAATTTGCTTGTACAGAGTGTCTCAGAAAAATTAATGACTGTGTTGTTAAAAATAAATATCTAATCAGATTTAGGAATTAAACTCGTTCCTTAGAAATTGCGATTCAACATCTTTTAAATTTAAGAAGTTTTTAAAATAGGGACAAAATCAGTCTTGTCTTGACCACTGCTAGCCCCGCCCACCCGCCCTCTCTTTTCTTAGAAGGTATCTCATTTGCCAAAATCAGTCTTGTCTTAGCAAGTGCTAGCCCCGCCCACCCGCCCTCTGTTTTGTCAAAGGGTATGGCGTCTGCCAAAATCAGTCTTATCTGAGCAAATAGTAGCCCCACCCACCCGCCCCTATTTTCTCAGACGATATGTGATTTGCCAAAATAAGATTTATCTTAGGAAATACTAACAAGTACAACCCTCTGAGAAAATAAAGGGCTAGTGGGCGGGGCTAGCATTTGCTAAGATAAGTCTTATTTTGGCAGACGACATATCTTATGAAAAAATCGGGGGCGGGTGGGTGGGACTAGTACTTGTCAAGATAAAACTGATTTTGCCCATATTAATCTTGTAAAAACTAGTGAAATTCAAAGGTGTTAAATTGCAAACTGTTAAGCAACGAGTTAAATTCCTAAATCTACCCGAAATGTCATGAGTTTTTAATTGTGATTTGCCATCGTATTCATAGTTTTCAAATTTGCTTAAACAGGGTGACTCAAAAAAATTAATGAATGCGGGAATTTATTTTGATTTAGTCAGGAACCGCCAAACCTAATCATTGGAGATGTTTTAAAGTTTTCATAAGCATGGCAAATTTTTGATCAAAGTCTATTTGCTCATCCCCCTAAAAAATTGATGACGTCATTTCAAAATATTGCTGAATATGTCCATCCTACTTTAAATGTTCAAAATATGATTAGTCTATACTTGGGATTTATTTTTAATATATAATTAATATTTTTTAAATTTGCTTGTATAGAGTGTCTCAGAAAAGTTAATGACTGTGTTGTTAAAAAATAAACATCCAATCAGATTTAGGAATTTAACTGGTTCCTTAGAAATTGCTATTCAACATCTTTTAAATTTAACAAGTTTTTAAAATAGGGCCAAATCAGTCTTATCTTGGCCAGTGCTAGCTCCGCCCACCCGCCCTCTGTTTTCTCAGAAGGTATAGCATTTGCCAAAATCAGTCTTATCTTAGCAAGTGCTAGCCCCGCCCACCCGCCCTCTGTTTTGTCAAAGGGTATGGCGTTTGCCAAAATCAGTCTTATCTGAGCAAATAGTAGCCCCACCCACCCGCCCCTATTATTTGCTACCATAAGGCTTATTTTGGCAGATAACATATCCTATGAAAAAATATGGGGTGGGTGGGCGGGGCTAGTATCTGGTAAGATAAGACTGATTTTGGCAAATCCTGTATCCTTTGAGAAAATAGGGGGCGGGTGGGCGGGCCTAGTACTTGTTAAGATAAAACTAATTTTACTCCTATTAATCTTGTAAAAACTTATGGAATTTAAAGGTGTTAAATTGCAAACTTCCAAAGTAACGAGTTAAATTCCTAAATCTGCCCGAAATGTGCAAAATGTGATGAGTTTTTACTTGTGATTTATTTTTAATATACATATAAATAATATTTTTTAAATTTGCTTATACAGTGTCTCAGAAAAATTGTTGATTGTGTTGTTAAAAAATAAATATCCAATCAGATTTAGGGATTTAACTCGTTATTATAGAAATTTCAATTTAACACCTTTTAAATTTAACAAGTTTGTACAAGATTCGTAGGGCAAAATCAGTTTTATCTTAACAAATACTAGGTCCACCCGCCCGCCCTAGTTTCTCAGAATATATGATTTGCCGAAATCAGTCTTATCTTAGCAAGTGCTAGCCCCGCCCACCCGCCCTCTGTTTTGTCAAAGGGTATGGCGTCTGCCAAAATCAGTCTTATCTGAGCAAATAATAGCCCCACCCACCCGCCCCTATTTGCTCAGACGACATGTTATTTGCCAAAATAAGACTTATCTTAGCAAATACTTCTGAAAAAATAAAGGGCGAGTGGGCGGGGCTAGTACTTGCTACCATAAGGCTTATTTTGGCAGAGAACATATCCTATGAAAAAATAGGGGGCGGGTGGGCGGGGCTAGTATCTGGTAAGATAAGACTGATTTTGGCAAATCATATACCCTTTAAGAAAGTAAAGGGTGGGTGGGCGGGGCTAATACTTGCTAAGACTTATTTCGGCAAATGATATATCCTCTGAGAAAATCGGGGGCGGGTGGGCGGGCCTAGTACTTGTTAAGATAAAACTGATTTTGCCCATATTAATCTTGTAAAAACTAGTGAAATTCAAAGGTGTTAAATTGCAAACTATTAAGTAACGAGTTAAATCCCTAAATCTACCCGAAATGTGATGAGTTTTTACTTGTGGTTTGTCATTGCATTAATATTTTTCAAATTTGCTTAAACAGGGTGACTCAAAAAAATTAATGAATGCGTGAATTTATTTTGATTTAATCAGGAACCGCCAAACCGAGTCCTTTGAAATCTTGGAGATGTTTTAAAGTTTTCATAAGCATGGCAAATTTTTTATCAAAATCTATTTGTTCATCCCCCCCTAAAAAATTGATGACGTCATTTCAAAATATTGCTGAATATATCCATCCTACCTTAAATGTTCAAAATATGATGAGTCTATACTTGTGATTTATTTTTAATATATACTTAATTAATATTTTTTAAATTTGCTTGTACAGAGTGTCAGAAAAATTAATGACTGTTATTAAAAATAAATATCTAATCCGATTTAGGAATTAAACTCGTTCCTTAGAAATTGCGATTTAATGCCTTTTAAATTTAACAAGTTTTTACAAGTTTAATAGGGACAA